TTTCTAATCCTTTCTTACAATGTTCATAATGAATTCGTGTCAATTAATGAAGCTTGACTAAGTAAGCCATTCTAAAAACACCAATGATATGAATGTCTAACCTTCGCAATGTGTGTGTGTGTGTGTGTGTGTGTGTGTGTGTGTGTGTGTGTGTGTGTGTGTGTGTGTGTATGTGTTTGTGTGTGTGGGCGCGTGTGAGCTTATGGAGCGTGGCTGTTAGAGTATGATGAGCACATGTTTTACGATGTTGGATGAATAAGAGTCTCCGTGTCCTCATATGACAATTTACAAAGCCACTCAGTTATTATAGTTTTACATTCGTGCTTAGTCCTATTCGCTATGAATAAAATCCTATTTATTTTATTATACAGAAACCGACCAAGAAAACATGAGAATCTTTGGCTAAACGATGTTTTATGAGGGACACTACGTGATAATTTAAATCTTCGCGTAGACGACAAGGTGGAAGATATCGGTTGACTGTGTCGGGAGAGGAGTGAGTGTTGCGTCAGCACAACCTGTAGTACAAACATTTGTCGTACTGTTAGTACTTTACAGTGGTCATATAGATCCCTTGTAGGAAAACGATATGGCTTGAAGTTTGTCACTTTTACTACTGCTCTCTGCGCTCGTTCCACTCGTATCAAATTACTTTTTGCCGCGCCACCCCAGGACAAAATACAATATCCAATCAACGATTGGCATAATGCGTAATAAGCTGTTCTTAAAATTTTAGGTTCTGCGACATGCCTCAAGTGCTTAAAAATATAAATTAACTTACGGATTCGCCCCGTTAAAAAATCGATGTGAGGTGTAAAACTAAGTTTTTCATCTATGATCACTCCTAAGTATTTTATAGTCGTAGAATTATTTAATTTAGGACAGTTACATGTGTGATGAGTATTTACTACATGATTATGTGCGATAATTGGCAATATTATTATATTAATAATATATTAATTATATTATATTAATTATTAAGGTTTAGACAGGAGTGTTGAAATTTTCTCTATGTCGCTATTCATTAATATTTAAAGACGATATTCACACGCACCACTCCTAATTCTACTAAAATATTTGACATAGGGTTTCTATGTATAAATTCAATAAAGCTGTGAAATTTGTAAAACTGTTTGTACTGGTAGTGACCAGGGTTAGGCGAATAAATCAAATTAATCTGTTTGACCTCTATACCATAAAAAAATTGAGAATTGATGCAGCTATTATAATCAATCTGAACCTATTAGCTGCTCCCAAAGGTTAGTTTGAGTCGTCGACAAGAGCATAACATCATAAATCTTCTGTCTCCGAAATCGAATAATCATGTATCACCAGTACATTCTATATATGAGTGATTATATAAGCTCGTTGTAATATTGTAAATGTATTTGATATACTTATCTATGTAGTAACAAAGACAGACTTGACCTTTTGTGGCTTCATTTTGTTTCGTTCATGCCTTACGCGATTGCTCTAAATATTACAAACTACCTGACCCGCGTAATTTCGTCTGCGTCTCTCAAAAGACACATTATTTTCCCATTTTTGCAACATTTTTCATCATACTCCTAATAGTGGTTTATAACCTACAAGCTTTTGCCCGCGGCTCCGTCCGCGTAAATGTCAAAAGTAACCTATGTCTTTCCTTTAAAAGACCCCGTAAGTTTGTATGAGGAATCAATAACTGCTAAACTGATTCAGATGAAATGGAGATAGTTTGATTCTTAATAAGGCTCCTTTACCGCGGTTTTTTAAAAATCAACAAAAATCTAAAAATTTAATACATCGATGATATTTTTGTTTATCCTTAAACCTTGCTGTCTCATTTCAGCAGTGCATTTAGTTAGTCTTTTTTAGTATTGTTTGAAGTCGGTTCAACTTTATTCAAAAGGATTTTACATTGAAATTTTCTAAAAATAAATTTGTATTTTTTCTGACTTAAGTCCTTTTATTAACTATAGTTTCGGCGATAATTTTGTGCGAAGTTATATAACTGGCAGGATTTTCGCAAAAATATCGTGAATACATCTAATAATAACCTCACACATCTCACACACGGCTGTCTGATCCCAAAGTAGGCAGAGCCTGTACTATGGTAACCAAACTGCTGATAAACATACTTATATATTTCTAAATGCATACATAGTATATATAAATTACACCCATGGATGTATTGTGAACATACAAGAGTAGACATGATAAAAATCAAAGTTCACTTTGTTTGTCTAAATAGTATTATAAAATGTAATTATTCTACTGGTACTTACGTCTAACATTCTTAAAGCGACCTATAGGTTACGTAGTGTTTGTACTAATTATACTCTTTGGTTTGCCATATACCGTTAAAAGAAAGAAAGAACATGGTTCTGACAGATGCTGTCGTTCCTTTTTTGTAATTTTTATATATCTATCACCGGGGGAATTTCCATCACCACCATTAAAAATAACAATAATCCATAATAAAACAATATTCTGGAATTATAGTCATTTATAATATACATGGTATAATGTGTTTATTTAAAAGTGCCGTGTTATTAAAAAACAAAGAAAATTGTCCGACAGGTGAGTAATACATAGTGTAAGTATATAAGAACATATTCTAATAACGTGACGATCTGATTATTCACAACGTAAATAGTAAGTAGAGTAGTATATACTTAGGGCAATAAATTTCAGTAAATTAAACTAAATGCAGCAATATAAGAGTTATGACTTCTTACTTGCATTGCAGCCAAATTTGTTATGAAATCTTTGTACACAAACTATATTATTATGTCGTAGTGGGAATGATAAGATATGGTAATTTGACTTTTATTACCTAGTTATGCGTTACAATTTTACTGTATTTGCGGTTGCTTAAACTATTAAATTTACCATACTTTAAAATGACCCTTGAACACACTGAAGAAGCTGTGTGATAACAATACATTATGTACAAGTATAAAAGTAATTTACTTGACTATTTATATTCTAGAACGATATGTAACCATTTCATTTGCACTTAAAATAAAAAAAAACAGTTTCTTACTTATTCTTCTCTATAAGATGTACTTATTGGCACAGCTTCAAGAGTAGCTTCTTCTAACATCAGTATCGTAACGGCCAGCTGACTCACGTAGCCACGGATAAAATTTTGAAATTCTTAGAAAACCAAGAACAGGTTTTTGACGTGACAACGTCTTATAATTCGATGGAGCCGGCTGCACGCACGAAAAAACATGACTCATGCGGCGTTACCTCGCTCTGAGGCGTTCCATTTAAGGCGTGAAGTGCAAGCGAGAGCGCGGAACGAGCGACAAAGAGGCACAATCGGCCTCCGCGTTCGGCAGCGTTCGATATCTGTCTCTCTCCTACTTGAGTGAGCGATGCGTCCGCGTGGACAGCTGCTACTCGTATACAATAATACATTTTTGAAAAATGCAACCATTCCTTCAGTATTTTCTTATGACGTTGTCACGTTCAACTATCGTCAGTAAACCGACTTTACAGACAACCGATTTTTTTCTTTAATCTGCAGCTTCTCCCAGCCGCCTCACATCATTTACGTGAGATTTTTAGTGTAAGTATGACAATAAGGAGCGCTGGACTTTTTTTTTCTCGTATTGTGCCCCAATTGCCGCCAGGTCAGGAAACCGCCATAATTCCGCAATGACTATGGTGGGATAATCATCAACAGCCTTAAATAGTTCACTGCTGGACATAGACCTCTCCTTAGAAAGGAAATAATAAAATCGAAGAAACTGCTAGTAGTCGGTTCATCGTTAAAGTAGTTGCCTTGCACTTGATATATCCTGATTAATTAACATCTGCACATCGTTAGTTGCTAATCAAAGGTTTGTTAAAAAGTAAAAAAGTAACAATTTCATATCGATTTTGGTTAGAAAAACGAAGCTGCAATTAGAAATATTGCAACAGCTAGTACAATTTTCCCAGCAGATCTTACATTAGCTGAGAGCAAATGGAATCAATAATCAAAGTTTTGCGCAAATCCATATATGCTAACTATGCAACTGATTCAAAATTGGTCTGCAAAATTAGTCCCCCGTTAGACTCCCCTTTTATTTTCACTTTGGTGAGTCGATGGAAGCTTTACTAGAAGATACAGATTGTATAAGGTTTTTAACCGCGAAAGATAAATTTTAACATCATAACACCCTGATGGATTTCATTGCAAATCGCCAGTGAGTGTTTTGGAAACATTTTTCAACAACCATTGATCTACTATTTCACATTGGAAGACATGATTGTTGCATAAATATCGCAAGAGATGTCATAACAATAAAATGTATTCATCACATTTACATGCGTACTTCCATTTTTTTTTAAATTGTAATCCGTATTTTGTTAGATCTGTAATACACCAATACCACCACAATTTCAGGCTTATTTGCAACCATCATCCTATTTCTGATGATAAATCGACCCAATACAATGTGGTTCGACCATTTTCGATAACTGGATCGGTTGTACCTGTAGTAGTATGGTCACTCTACATTTCACAAGATTGCATTTAAGGGCTAGTTGTTGATTCCCAATTCTATTTAATTGTGTCTATTCAGACATTCACCGTTAGCAAGACACGAACAGAAATAGTATATGATTGATGGATTCCACAGGTTCCGACGGTTGCATGCTCTATAGATGTCAATCGTACCATCTTTAAGGATATATTTCCGCTAGTTATTCGTCATTAGTACTTTGTACATAACTGCACAAACAAAACCTGTAAAAATGTTGATTATTGACATACATCTTTTGTAAAATATGGTTACGGAAGTTAATGCGTTTACGATAGGTATTAGGGACATACTACATAAGTAATCAGTCGATCCTCGGGAGCCAGCCTGTGAGCATGGCCAGCGCATCCTGCTGGAAACAGAAGGAATGTAATTGTTACCTATTGTGAGAACGTTAATTCTCGTAAATATAATTATATTATGGAACGCGTTAGTTTTAAAGTTAATATGTTATGTTTTGTTGTTTCAGTATAATCTATCAAGATGGCTAACATAGACCTAGATAAGCCCCGCTTTGACCAGAATACATACACGGGTCGAGCGAAACATTTCCTGCTACTCACCAACCCGCTTAATCTTTTGGCTTCCGAATCCGACCTGGATGAAGCGAAGAAGATTGTTACTGAATTTAGGTAAGTGTTGTTTTATTATTTATCTATGTGTTCATACAAATAGTATAGCGATTGTTAAACCGTATTGCGAAAATGAATATCGATATTGCGAAATTAGGTTTCTGGCTTAATAGCCATAGATTCTTTCTCATTATCACAATGAAGCTAAACTAATGTATAGCTTCATTGTGATAATGAGAAAGAATCTTATCATCAGAAAGCTAATATTTTAAACAATAAACAACTGACCCCCTTGTCGTTAATTATATTAGGTAGGTATGTTCTTATTTAACTATGTTATCTGAGAGCATCACATATTCGTCTTAATTTGTCTTGCATATATGTATGCAGAATTATTTATTTACATATTGAACTTGTGTTACGTAGGTACATTATGATGTAATTTATGTCTGTGTAGTTAACAAATTGTTTTATTGGTCAGAGGTGTATATGTTTCTTCTAGCAGAGACGCACTAGACTCAACCATTCTGACACAAGCCAGTTCAAGGTTCCGATATGTGACCCTGGCCTGCTTTTCCTTATTTTCTCCAATCCAGCTTTATAACCAAATTGATTTCCTACCATTGCCTTTCCTTTTTATCTACTTTTACCTTACCTTTACGTTGACGGGCCAGTTGGTCTAGTGGTTAGTGACCCTGACTACAACGCCGGAGGTCGTGGGTTCGATTCCCACCCATGACAAATGTGTGATGAGCAAGCACATTGTAAAGTGCATATGTTGGGAAATTGTAATATTCTCTGGAAGCTAGTAGTCGAGTGAACAAACGTGTACAAAGTCAGAAGAATAAACACGTTATTTCCGCACCCCTCTTTAATTGGTCCGTGGCCCAAGCACCCCAACAAACAGTTTCGTTCTCGTTTTAGTCGATTTTATTCCATATAGCTTCATTGCTTTAGTTTTGAGTGTCAAAAACTGCTTATCTCCAGGTCAACCTTGCCTAGTGTTTTGCCTTTCTTTGATATGTAACTTTCTGCGTAATTACTGACGTAAGTTAATAACATGTGTAATAACTATTTTGTTTATATCATGTCGTTGGCGCTTTATATAACAGGAAAACTCGGAAATTGCCCCCTGGGTACGACGCAGACAAATTATGGGCGACTAAATACTTGTACGATAGTGCGTTCCACCCGGATACTGGCGAGAAGATGCTCGCCATTGGTCGGATGTCCGCGCAGGCGCCGATGAACACCTTAATCACCGGATGTAAGTTATATTGATTTATTTTCATGTTCCAATATTAATCAGAGGGCCTTGTGTGAGTTTATTTCACTTCTACTCGCTCTCGACTCGAATTATTTATTTACATATTGAACTTGTGTTACGTACATTATGATGTAATTTATGTCTGTGTAGTTAACAAATTGTTTTATTGGTCAGAGGCTGGGATATGTTTCTTCTAGCAGAGACGCACTAGACTCGACCATTCTGACACAAGCCAGTTCAAGGTTCCGATATGTGACCCTGGCCTGCACTGGACTGCAAGCGCGTTCGGCGTTGCGATTGCTGAAGATTTCAACGCGGGCCAATCACAGCGCTAAACGCGATCACCATGACGATCGCGTAGAAGTAAAACAAAATTGCGCTCGGCCCCTCAGTGCTGCATTTCGCGCTTCAAAAATCCAGGCTCGCGTACACGGGCATATTCCCCGAGGTTCGAAGCGAAGAAGTTCCGAGTTGCGATGTGGCCAATGAAGCGCCTATACGGGCCTACATATGCTTCCAAAAACGAGCTTATACTCGCGTATAAAACGCTAGTCTGGTTTTTTCCTTTTTTTAAAGGGACAACTCCCCCACTCGGAATATATCCTGTGTCGCGGGGGACTTTACAAACATACATAGAAACGGACACAAAGAACACCCAGACTCAGATCAACAAGTCAGATCAACAGATAGTAGACACGCAAAGTGTTGTCCCTTGTGGGGATCGGACCCACAACACTCAGCGCAGTAGGAAACGCCGAGGTGACCGCTTAAACCACACGCCATCCGTGCAGTCCAACCGCTGAATCCGCTCTAATGTCTACAGGTATGATAACGTTCTACAAGACAAAACCAGCGATCATTTTCTGGCAGTGGATCAATCAGACGTTCAACGCTGTCGTCAACTACACGAATCGCTCCGGAGATGCGCCAATCACTACCAAGTTAGTGTTATTTATTGTAACCACACATTAATAAGGGAACTGTCCTGTTTTCGGATTACTCTAAGATACATGTTTATTTCCAGCAAAATGTAAACCAAGCGCTAACAAATCTCATCTAATTCTAAAAATATTATCTGATTTAACAATAACAACAGAAATTGAAATATGGGACTTTCATTTAAATTATACCACCATTACCAACAAACTGCCTAATAAAAATTAGTTAACAATTAATTTTAAAAAAGAGTAATATGAGAAATAAAAGAATATAACAGCACTTTCTGGCTGTACCCGTATATGAGATGCAGGTGCTCTCTTCTGACAAAATTAGCTTTACTACACCGAAGAAGGGAATTATAAGAGTCAGAATACGTAGTTAATAGAATTGAATAATTTAAGCTTTAGTAATTGGTAATTCTCCTGCCTTTATTAATATGCCTCGTGATAGGCGGAAGGTCACACATTTCTTGGGTCGAGGAAATTGTACCTATCTCTTCCTATCTATCTTCTCGAAAGTGGTAAATATTGCCTTATCCTTAGATGCAATATATATATATATATATAGAAATAATACACACAGATACAAATATTATTTATAAATGTTATATATTTATGGTGTAAATTTTTTGCAGGCAACTGTTCGCATCTTACTGCGCGGCCTGTGGTGGTGCCTTAACTACTGCGTTGTACCTCAACAGCAAAACAAAGGTGAGGACGTAACAATAAAAATCAATCTTAGAACTTTTCCAATAATATCTATAGACTATTCCGTAAAGTCTAACAGACTAGTCAGAGCCTATACGTCTAGGCCAGGCCAGAACAGGCTAGTTGTTAGTAATCATGACTGCTAAGCCAGTGGTCGTGGGTTCGATTCCCACTCAGGACAAATAATTGTGTGATGAGCACGATCTTTTGTTCTGGTGTGGGTATAATTTATCTAAAATATATATGTATTTAGCAGTATATAAATGATATGTTTTTCAGCAGTCTGGTTACCATAGTACAAGCTCCGCCTAGTCGGGAATCTGACTGCCGTGTGTGGTAACTGATATGTGTAATATATAGTAATATTATTATTGTTAGTAGGTATTATATCTCTTTCTTTCAGCAAGAATATGACTACGGTGGTAGGTATATTGATGTCTACCCCATATCTACGTACCTTACTATGCCCATATTACTTGACTTTGGGTTGTTAATGTGTAGTTACTTTTTTAATGATTTATAGTTCTTAAATAATATCGATTTTAAGAATTCAAATGTACTAAAATTGTATACTTATCCTAAAAGCACTTAGGCATAACTTTATTAATAATTTTATTAACAATGCATAATTCCCAATACCCAAAATCGTTATTACGACAAAAAAAACTTAGTACCCATAGTTATTGTGGTAACGGAATATTCGAACGTGATTTTGACCTACTTCAAAACGTCGAAACTTGAAACTTCGCACACCTATGAAGGACCGATGACAATACAACAACTTATTTGGCCGATTATCCTGACCAGGATATTCAGGATTAACGACTTTTTCCATGCTTCGGCCGCCTACGAAATCAACTTTCGAAACCAATTTCGAAATAAGAATATTACTTCTTTCGAAACTGGTTTTGATAAAAGAATGTTTCTTCTTTCGAAACTCATAAAAAAATCTCTTTTGATGAATAAGAAACAATTTACTGTCCACTTCCACACGATGAAAACGATATTAAATGAAAGGCACGTGCATGTACATATCTGTTATTCTTGTGGCATCGCTAGTCTAATGTATCGTTTTGATTTTATTTACGACTTTCAAAACATTATCCTTTTACCGAAACGGTATCATAGAAGGCCAAAGGATAAAAATACGGTAGTTCTTTTGCTACGTACTTACTAACTTGTTAGTTTTTAATCTTAATAAGAAAGTAATTATCATTAATGACTAGAAAAGAAAAAATCAATTATAGTTAAAAAAAACACGCTTCTGTAACTAACCTAACTAAAAAGTAGGAAATAATTTTCTATAAGTTCAAAAAGAAAAAACATTTTATAGTAAGAAATCGTTGGGTGCTATTCAAGATATTTTATAATACATTATATATAACACCCCATATATTATATATAACACCATTTTTTAATCTATAATTGGTTCCGCGAGAGCGATTACTGAAATCTCTAAGTCAAATGAGATTAAGTACATAATTACAGTATTAAGGCGTTTGACACGTGATTTTATTTATGTAAACCTTATGTTTAATTACTAAAATAATTACCAAATCGTAAAAATGTCGGCCAACAGTTTTGTTAGAAAATGTAGTACTTACTCGTAAAATGTACTCGGTCAATCTTATCTTTTCTTATTGTGAAGGTTTATTTGGTCCACATTAAGTAGGTTTATTTACAGTCTCGGTACGTCACTAGACAAGGGAGGTGTGTCAAGTTTTTTTGGCTAATAGGAATTGGACAAACTGTTTAAGAATAGCGAATTATCGCATAAGCAAATGAGCGAAAAGCAGCGAATATACGACAACATTATTTGCTTTGAATTCTATAGTTTAAGAAGATTAAATGCATAAGAAGTCTGCGTTCTGTACACATGTGTATTCATAACTAAAAAAAAGGTTTTTTTTTTGTGAATTTAAGATATGTAATAAACTTAAAAGACCCATTCCTTATATATTTTTATATTTTTTCTAATATTTTTTTTCGACTGCACGAGTGGTTTAACTTATTAATAAATAAATAAATATGTATATGTGTATTGTTGGCATTTCATAATATGCAACATTTTTGGACATTGGAATTCGTGCCGTCAACGATTTCTTAATCCTGTAGAACGGTTCTTTTTTACAAATAGTATCCAACTACGTAACCCGCTTCAAGGCAGCTGTAGATTTACATACAATTGATGGACGAATTTATTAACATATACCTACGTTAGCTGAAGTAAATGCCGCTGAAGCTGAATATATGTATACTGAAATTAATGCGCTCACGATAGTCATTAAATACATGCCTTTGAACTGATATCTGCCGTTTCGACTAGGTTGCGCTAGAAATCAATTTATTGCACTCCGTATGTTACAAGGATGTTAAAACAATATTTAGAGTATATTAGGGGCCGATCAGGATACGGCAACTTAGAAGAGAGGAGGTTATCGTCTGCGGTATTTTCGGACCGATAGGACCTTCAAGAAAAGAGCGTACTCCTTCCTAAAAGGCCGGCAACGCGTTTGTGAGTCCTGATTTGCAGACGTTCATGGGTGGTGATAGTCACTTTCCATCAGGTGACCCGTCTGCTCGTCTGCCCCCTCTAACATAAAAAAACAAAACCTATATCTCCTTAATTTTTTTTATTAAACAACATTCCATCAAATTACTATAACAACAAAAATGTTATTCATATTATTAAGTTTTTTTTGCAGTCTGCTCTAAATTAATATATTAATGAACTTAAAATAATTTTATCCATTTTTTGTATTAATTTATTGAGATGTGATTGAAATATGTATGTATTAATATGTAAATATTTAGGATTCCGTAAACATAATTATATATTATGGAACAAATAGTTTAAAAGTAAGCTCACTTATATTTATTTGTAACTAACGCTGGTTGTGGGACCAATGCCTGTATTTGTTTACATTCCATTTATCATCTACGTTATTCGTGTAAGTACTAAATGGATGTCATGTACTGCGATGACGCTGATTGTTGTACAAGCAACAATATTCATAAACCTATTTACGAAAATGTTCCATTATTCTCTACGCGAGCCGTCTCGTCTTATCTATACTTAAAAAAGTTTTTCACCCTTTTAGACAAACCGGCCCACACAGTTTGGGCTAAAAAGGCCATTGTTAAGTTAAAAAAGTCTGTTCGTTGAAAAGCAACGGTTCTGCCGGTCTAAACGGCCCGTAATGGCTCGCCCACGATTGTGGTTTTCTTATTAAGAATGTAATATAAATTTAAACAAATACAAACTTTTATACTGACATTATTCATCAGATCAAATAGTCGCTTAATGTGGCGTCTGTAGGCACTGCTTTTTTATATGATTATAATATAAATATAACTGGGAACATTAGTACTAAGTACTTTTATTATTAACTAATGAATAATTGTATCCTAAATAATCTACCCTTATATTATAAATGCAAAAAAAGTTGCGTTTTCACGCTTAAATCGCTACACAAATTTTAATTGTGTAATTGATATAAAACTTTGAGAAAGAGACAGCTTCTTTTCTGCTAAATAGAAAGTAGTATAAAATATATTACATAATATCCCTGTTCGTACTGGCAGGACCAGGCAGAGAAATTGTAAAACAAATAAGAGTTCATACGATTAATGTGATATGGAGGACTTGTCTTTTCCCTTTCTGACCCATTGCACTACCAAATTACAATTCCAATAGTGTCATGGGTAATTAAGGAACGGTCATACATCCTTTCCTTCTAACCCATATATGACAATTTTTAAATTACTGTACTGTAAGTAGTGTAATGGACACTACGTGTTAGTCCCTATGACACTACCTGATAGTGTAATAATCTGGTAGTGCATAGAACACCAGATTACAGTATCGGTAGTGTCAGAAGAATATATATTCGTTCCTTAATTACCCACGACACTACTGGTAGTAGTGGTGGTGTAATTTGGTAATTTCGTAGTGCGATAGAGCATAAGGGGTTTTTTCCGCATGTTTTGTTAGAATAGTGTGATGATGTAAGGGTACATTTTGTATTGTCTTATATGTGAATACTAGCGATCCGTCCCGGCTACAATGTCGATACTACTAATACTACTATTGTAGTGTCAGTATGGAGTACATTATTATTTTATACTATTATTTTGATAAGACAATACTACAGGACATCATTATGCAATATTTATAGGTCCGCTCCGCTCCTACCGGCAGCTACCACCCGGTATGGTGTATTCACGGAAATTTTCATTTTAATGATATTCTGTAAAGAGTAATTTAATCTACATTAAAATAGTTTCGTAAATAACTAGAAAAAAAATCGACTTCATGTTATACTAAGTTAAGACAAGACAATGCAAAACGTTTTCGTAGAATAGAACCCCTTAAGTGCTAAAAAATACGTCTGTCCTCTTCCGCAGAACATGAACCCAATGTTCTCGCGGCTAGTGCCATTTGCGGCTGTCTGCGGAGCTAACTTCATCAATATCCCTATGATGAGGAGCAAGTGAGTGCTACTATTTATTTTATGTCTACTAGTTATCTATATCAAAAAGTACATATTTTTTGGTGCCGTACCGTAAGTGTGCCGGCGTTTGTATAATAAACTTGCAAACGCGCGCGAATTATATGTATCTATTTATTATATATTATATTGTCATATTTATACGTTGCATTGTACGTTGTGTTGTTACGTTCTACCATATATTTATAAATCGATATAAACGATTTATATCTAGTTTCCAAATTAAAATTCTCTTTGAACTTCGGCGACGTCGAATCTAGTGTGTGTAATCTTAAATTGAATGTAAGATCATAATCACTAGATTCGTCATCTAAGTCTATTTAAAATATAATACAAGTAACGAGTTCAGTATTCTAGCTAAAATATTTTTCGATTGATGTTTTTAAAATCAGAGGTTTTTTAATCGAATCTGAATCAACGAATTGTCATTAAGACGTTAGACATTATACGAATGAATAGAGTATTATATTCAATAAGTCACCTTATTTTATCAAACAGGAACACCGTCGAATTTGAACACGTGCAAATCGAATTTGACACGGGTATACCAAATGGGGGTTGAGACTGATTACGCTTATGAATATATCTTATCTGTTAACTTTACAGTGAATTGATGAATGGCACTCCGGTATTCACGGTGCCAGATGGACAGCGGGTGGGTGACTCGGTGACGGCAGCACGCGTCGGGATATTCCTCGTCTGTATATCTCGTGTGGTGATGGCTGTCCCCGGAATGAGTGAGTTTATACTACACTACTTGACTTCGTCTGCGTCTCTGAAAAGGAATAATTTTTCTCCGTTTTTGCTCCGCTGCTGTTGGTAATAGCTTGGTGTTATAGAGCTATAGCTTATAGCCGTTCCTCGATTAATAGGCTATCCAACCCTAAAAGAGTTTTTAAATTTGAACCAGTAGTTTAGAGTTTGTTTGTTTGGTTGAACGCGCTAACCTCATAGCGCGTTCAACCAACTCTTTAGCTCTATAATAGTAGTATAGACTTTATAATATTAGTATAGATAATGCTCAGCCGTCATGTCAAATCAGTGTCATTTTATCAAACATGGGTTAAATTACCAAACTGCTGCTACTGAGTTCAATCTCCACATCGAATAATCGTTATATAAAATCGATCTGAGCTTATTGTCCTTTATTTGTAAGTATGCAAGTTAAGTCCTCGAACCTCTCCAAACTTACAACACTGACATCATAGCGGCGCATAGTTTTCATGGTGTAGAAGAAGCCTAATAAAAAAGGTAATCGTTAGCTCTCTGCTCAGTTTAGTAACGAGGGGTGTATGACGATTCCAGCGATCACGCCAGCCATAACGAACTGGGCCACGAAGCGCGGCATGTTCTGCCACTACCCGCTGGCGGTGATCCCGTTCCAGCTGTCGCTGGTGGGGTTGTGCGTGACGTTCGCCACGCCGCTGGCGTGCGCGCTGTTCCAGCAGCGCGCCACGCTGCCCGTCGCCAACCTCGAGCCCGACCTGCAGGTACTCTAATCCTCATTTCACTCTGTATTTCTGAGGAGCTATTTCACATCAACTCGCTCTCGACTGCGAGCGCGCTCAGCGTTGCGATTGGTGAAAAATTCAGTGAGATCGGTCTTGAAGATATTTTAGTCATATTTATAAATTAGACCTTTGTAAAGAAATAAAACAACTAAGACTCGTATGATTGTTAATTCGTTTGAGCTTGACAGAGCGGGTTAATAGCGATACTAAATAAATACGAGTCTCAACTTCGTTCTTAAACTCGAACGTAATAAACGTAAACGGAATACATGAATTCTGTTTAGGTAGTGGGAACTAGCGATGGCGATGTTACAAAAAAAACTTTGTATTTCATACTATTATACTTTGTATTTCAAAATATTAATTTTTATTTCATGCAATATTGTGCTCAACAGAATTCCACCTTTGTTATGAACTTTTGCGTGATGCACAACCGTTAGTAATGCTTTAATATCCCCATTTTCTAATAAAGTTTTTACTTAAGGGCAAAAATATTTCGTAGTTTTTATTTTACTATAATGCATGCACTTTACCCAGCATGTTTGCAGGCTATTTGATTGAAAGTACAAGATTTTTCATCTCACAGACAGTTCATAAATACACCCCTTGTATGTTAAAACTTCAAGTAAGTTGACATTTTCACCTTTCAGGAATTTGCAAAGAAGAAATTCCCTAAGACGACCACAGTGTATTACAACAAGGGATTGTAAACGAAAACTTTGCTGTAGAACCCCCTCCGGTATATCGAACGACGATATTGACGTCAGAGGAATCTTCAAAATATATCTGAACTCCTGGTAACAGAAGCCAGTGGAACAGTAAAGCAGAATCCTCTTCGTCGGACTATTTCGACCCATAATCTAGTTGTAAGAGGTTAAGTCCAGTTTTATTTAATCGGCAACTCATTTCTGTCTAATTTCAGCGTCTGGGCATAGATGCATAGATAGACACGTATTTGGCGTTCTCGTTGATTTTTGTTGTGGTTTTTTTTTTACTATTTATTTTACATAGTTTGTGATATTTTTTTAAATCTAATCGGTATTCCAAATACGATTCCAATACGTTTTTTGTAGCATTTACTAAACATCATATACTATTTTAAATTGGACAAAGTTCTTTTGTCGTTTGTTTTATGTCATTTAGTGTTTAATTTCTGAAACTTTCTTAAATGTCTTCTTTTATCGACGACGATCGACGCGACGACCCGTCCTTAAACATTACTTTTTTCCAATTTAAAAGATATAATACAACTTACATTCCTAGTGACAATGGCTGATGTGAAACCTACGTTTAAATCAGCCGTAGCGTAGGGAATGATGCGGCAGCCAGCGTTACGAGATTCTATATCTTTGGGTTCCATTTGGCTGTGATTTGTTTCTACTTACTCTACTTCAGCCTAACGCCGTCCACTGCTGAACGAAGGCTTCCCACAAAGAGCGCCAAACATACCGGTCTTGGGTAGTCCGCATCCATCCATTTTCCTCAAGTCATCAGCTCAGCGACCATCAGTCCACTTCCACTTCAGCGTACTGATTTTCCGTGCGATATCGATTTCTCCAGTTCTCAGTCGAATTGTTTCATTTCAAATATTATCGACTAGAGAAACACGAAGCATCGCACGCTCCATTGCACGCCGAGTCACTTTAAACTTGCGGACCAGTCCAACGGTGAGTGTCTACGTCTCGGCTAGGAATGCATTACCGGTAGAACGCACTGGTTAAAACGCCTTGGTTTTTAGCGATTGTGGGATCGGCGACTCGAACAGACGAATTCTTCTATCGGCCGAGTTGGATAGTTTGGGCCAAGATAGATTCTTGAACAACGTCGGGACTTGAAGAACCGTCCACACTGCTAAGCATTTCTCCCGTCTGCAAATCGCAAGTGTGAGATGTATTGGCCATTGATATTGATGCCCCGTCCATTCCAATCGAGCGTCTTGAAGACATCTTACAATGCATTGGTAAACAGTTTTGAAAAAGTCACGTCTCCTTGTCTAACCCTGCGATGCAATTGAATTGGTCTTATGCTCTGTTCTTGTACTTGGACGTTCATCGGTGCGGCTTTGTACAAACATCTCAGCTCTTGATTGACAGTCGACCAAGCGTCTCTGCATAGATTCCAGGACAGCCTAGGTCTCGCTGGTATTGAAGGCTTTCTCGTGGTCTTACGCTAGGCGGAGAGGCAGATGGTATTCCTCTGTCTTCCCAATTGTTTGCCTTAATGTGTGTATGTGGTCAACGGTGCTGAAGCCTACTCGTTACTGAGCCTGCTCCACGGCCTCAAAGACATCGAATTTTCGATGAAGACGATTCATAATGACCCTCAAAAAAAACTTGTACACATGTCTTAGGAGAGATATGCGGTGGTAGTTCTGCAATAGGCTTTTTTTAAAAACAGTACTACGACGCTCCTACCCCAAGCTGCCGGTGTAGTGCCAGTATGTATGATGGAATTAAACAGTTTTGAGAGCTCTACTTGCATAAGAGTACATCTGGCTTATAGAAGCTCCGTTGTTATTCCGTTTTCACTCGGAGCTTTATTATTACTAAGTTTTCCGAGCATTCATCCATCTAATCTTCATTCTAATCTCGCCTAGATCGATGTCCGGAAGATGTCCCTCATCAGATCCAGAGTCTCCCTGGTAAGCTTGGACTGGCGTCCAATGCTCTTCGGTCGAAAATAATAATATCCCACCTCGCGAGCGATACGTACCAGGCTGTCGGCCTTGTCGTCTAAGTCCTGCACGGTTTCCAACATAGAGAACCGGTTCCGAACTTTCACCTGGAAGCTTTTACATCCAGCCTTAACCTGGGGTGGAGTTGGTCTAAGAGCTGCATCAAGCACTCCCATTCTGCTCTATTTGATAAATTCATGGTGCCTCTTAAGAGTCCATGGTCATTTCCGGTATTAAACCTGTTGATCACAGAGACATCCCTGATTGTTGTTTTGTGTGTTTGTGATGGTGATTGACAATTATTGTGATGTTGAAGTCGATCTCGTTCTTTGTCACACTCTCGGGGCTTCGCCAGGTCCTTTGAGGCTTCTTCTGAAAGAAACTGTTCATCAGATAGCCCCTGGATCTCCAGGAGGTTTACCAGCATTTGCCCTCCTATCCAGTCCTACCCTGGATTCGCGTTATTCTTGTACTCCCGCTTTCGCATTGAAGTCTCCCATGACAACCGTGAAAGAAGTGTTGGTACGAGACAGAGCCTCAAGTACATGGCTTCGACCTCGTCGTCAGGATGTGTTGCCGAGGGAGCATACACTTGTACAACCTTCAAGGAATACTTTTTGGATAGTTTTAAGACAAGATCATAGGTACGCTACCCTTGACGACACACTGTCAACTTTCTCATCGCTGCTTCTGAGTGATTTAATTGATTGATTATGGACCTTAAAGCCGACGCCACATTGTGATGGTTGGTCTCCTTGTCGGAAGTAGAGAAGGTGGCTGTCCCTGTCTTCGGACTTCTGACAGCCCCAAATAATGCCAATTTATACGGCTCGCCTCCGCCGATCGTCCAGCCGAAAAGTTCATCCGTTGTACTTCGTCTAATACAGTCGCCGGTGGCACCGTAACACGGGAATTTTTCGCACCCCCCGCCGTTCGGTCACCATGACCAGGAATTATTGCCATCGCTTGGCAGGTGGATTTGTTACCGCAGTAGCGAGAATCATTCATCTGGTGACGCTGTTTCCCTACGACAGTATCGATATTTAGTGATTCTCGCAGTGATGTGGTTATACGCCACGAGTTGGTCGCCAGAGCCTCGTCCGTTGTTCGGTAGGGCGCACTGCTTGCAGGTGCGGTTGTCGTTACGAGGTCTAAGATGGTAGGTATCCCCGCTTACACTCCATATGATTTGTTTAAGTTAATACAAATAAGCAAAATAGATAGTGTAATTTATTTTAGAACATTAAATAACAGAAAGCAATCTGTTATTTAATATATTCCACGCGAATAATTTAGGCATTTAAGAAAGCAACATTCCGCAAACTTTGTATAAATATCAGTTAGAAGGATGTTTTCAATCACGATATATTTTATTGTTTTTATCACGCTATTCTATAATAGCACTATAATATCGATGTTTACTTAATTTTTCTATTTCTATTTATGTTTTATGTATATTTGCTATACAAACGAGCTCAGTATGTTAGGTTGTGTATTTATGGATCTTTTCTGTATTGAGGGACTATCTAGAATTATTTCAGCAATAATGTGCAATACATGTGCCATGTGCAAAATATATTAAAATGTATAAATGCAATGAAACGTCAATTGACCTAAAGGTACAAGAATGACAATAATTTCTACAGTGAAATGTAGATATTAAAGTGTTTTGTTTATAGATGTATCGGCATACGATGTAAGCATTCCAATGCCACAAATATAGCTGTATGAAACTAGACAAAGTAAATTATATGAAAGTTGAAGAAATAACTGTGTTCTTTTTTCCATTTACCTACGTTATTTAGGTTTCCTTGTTTCTTACCGATACTTATGATGATAGTAATGCCTAAATGATTGCGCCTTGCGTCTTTAAGAATACAATTCTACCGTCCAGTTTAAGAAAATAATAATAAACAAAAATAAAAAATAAAATAATAATAGTTTTCATTTTGTTAATACTTGTGTAGGTATATTACACACAAAAACTTTTTTTTTTCTGTGCGGAAATCCCCTCGGATACCACTTACCGGTGACAATGTCGGACTCGAACCGACTAAAACCGCACCCCGTCTCAGGTACCAGTAGTCGGGGAACCAGGTGTACCCTAGAAAGGAAATCCCTGGTGCCCCGACGTGCCTCGGGCCATCTACGGCGGGTAGACGACCCTCCCTGTGTGGGAACCCCCTGTTCCCTCTGTGCTCGCTCGCTCGCCGTCACCCCGGCCTGCTTCTGCTCGGGTGACAGATGGCCTCACCTGTCACCCCAGGCCTGCGCTTATGGAGGACACACAAAAACCTAGAGCAATAAATAATCATTTATTTATTTTTTACATCATAACATAAGTTTATGCATCAGCGATTGAACGATGCAGAGAGCATAATAGGTGCATAAGTCATAGATACTATATAGTCCGGCCAAATAAGCCCTAAAAATAGTAGTGAAGCTACAAAAATTCGCAGAGAGCTAAACATAGGTATGAATATTTAGAAACACCGTCATAAATGAATGCTGAAAAATCCCAGTCGATCCCGTACCGGGAATTTTTTCTTCGAGGTCAAAGGTCTCAAAAATGGGTTATCGCGTTTTCAGCACAGCGGTAAATATCTGCAAAAATGTCTCAATCCTTTTTTCCTAAGAACCACTGTTTCTAAGATGTAACGATTCTAAAAGTTGAAAAAGTTGTAATCTTCATATTGCAAAAGTACGACACGCATACACATCACTGAAGCTGTAATATCTGTAAAAATATTTTTCTACATTCAATGTAACATATATATATATATTACCAAATTTTATAACTATGAGAATGTCAGGTCAAAAGAAACCCAAACCCTCATTTTATACGCCAGTGTAATCTTCAGCAACATTTGTCGGATCGTGTACCTGCATTTTCTTAAAATGCCTAATAAATGGAATAATTAGGTCTTTACGTATGAAATTGTAGATTTATATAAAACATTTAAAATATAAAGATATTGTTTTTTTATTTTATTTTAGTTAAAGTACTGGCCCAAATTATCTATACAATTTTGCCATTTTTGTCGTAACAAACAAACTCACTTTAACATATTTATAATACTTATAAGTATGGAACTCTATTTTCAGAATGACCAAATAAATTTCAAAATAGTGTATACCTTGCAAGTAATGAAGAAGTGAGATGTGAATTCGATCGTTAGAATAATAAAAATGAGGCAATGTTACAAGCAAATCAGTGGCTTATTAACTATGAGTTATGCATGAAGCCAGGTAGTTACTCCAAGACGTTTTCAGGAGAATGAAGGATTCGTGTCAGAAGAATGAACTTTTATGAAATTTGCAAGAAAAAAAACAGTAGAAACATGCTATCCAGTGAAAATGACTTGATGTAACCAGGAAAATGATAAGGTATAGCATGAGTGGTGTGACGAATCGACTTTTCAAACCGGTTTAAACGGTTTAAACATGAACCGAGTTGAATCGGTTTTGCCCGTGGTTTAAACTGGTTGAGCCACAAGATCGCGCTGCATTTCTCCTGCTTTACCGACTGAAAAAAACTGATTTATCTGCCAACCGATTCTAAACCGAGTCGACGCGACACGACACTAAATCTTTATCAATTTACCTACAAAAACAAACTATATTATTATGTTCCTAAAAATCGGATACGGTTAGCGCGCGTCGTTTATCAATAATTTAGTATATAAACTAGACTTGCAACGAATAGTATATTCGGCAGTATACCGAATACCGAATATTCGGCGAGGCCCCTGACCGAATAGCCGAATATTAGGCAAAAGTATTCGGCTGGATTTTAGCGCCAAAAACTTGTACAGACGTGAATTAAATTATGTACCTGTTTTATGTACCAATGACTACTTAATAAATGATTATAAAAGAAATGAGAACCTTACCCTTCTAAATTTTGATTACCACAATAATTCAAATACATAGAATCCTCCATTTTTCCTATTCAGAAGATGATTATGTACCTGTGTTATGCACCAATGACTACTTAAATGATTATAACAGAAATGAAAATATGAATATATACGTAATCAATCGGTTTTAATTTTTCATTTTACCAATTATTTCTCAATGACAAAATATATTATTTAAGTATTCGGTATTCGGCCGAATAATATGTAGATATTCGGTATTCGGCCGAATATAATAAAAGCAGCCGAATAGGCCGAATACCGAATAGTAACCGAATATTCGTTGCAAGTCTAATATAAACCGATTTACTAACCGTTCGGATATATTTTTCTTATATCCACGAAATGAGAAAAAAATAAAGTATGGTAATCGTGTTACTTGACTGGGTAGCTTGTTGCATTGCTCTTAGGTCTCAACAAACTACCAATCAATTCCGTCACCGTGTCGGTCGTCGGTTAGTGTAGGTAATGTCAAGTTTTACACTTGTATGTAAACTCGGCTGCAAACCGTTGGCAAACCGTAAAACGAGGGTTAAATTGATCCCGTTGCACATTGCTTTTCTATGTTACATTCGCTGGTTTACTCATCATACGGTACAAACCGCGGTTTACTATAATTTCAAAGATTTGGTTTGGAACCGATTCTCAAGAGTTGTTAAACCGATTCAACACGGTTTGACAATATTCCAGACCATCACGTCTCTAAGCATGACTGCCTACTGACCAAAAGGCCAAGATCTACAAGAGTTCTCTCTCAACCAGGTATCCTTTAGTAGATTTAAAATCAATCATCTAATTTGATTGAAATATTATTTCATATTTCAATGTTTAATGGACATAATATTTAATGACATTACAAGTTTATTATCTTTATTGTCGAATATATACAGATCAAAATACCAAGTTACAAAACATGGAAATCTATTTTAACAAAACCTTTCAGGACACAAGGTGCATATAACAAAAATTAAAGAGATGGCAGCATTCATGTCCAACTAAATATTGTATTGGTATACAATAATACCAACTTTCTACATTGATCATACATTTTTTTTTTTGTCTTATATCTAACAATGTATAAGTTCTTTCTGTACGTCATAGTTACAACATTGATTTTTGTAAAAATTTACTGTTCATAATGACCGACAATATGGTTTTCGCCGGGGTCGCTCAGCTGGTGATCTTCTCGTCTTTCTAACACACCGGTGGGCACAGGCGATCGAAACCAAAGGAGAGGCTTGTGCGGTTGGTCTGGACATAGCGAAGGCCTTTGATCAGGTCTGGCATAAGGCGCTTCTCTCGAAGCTCCCTTCCTTTGGGCTTCCCGAGATATTGTGTGATTGGGTCACCATTAGGGTCGTTGTCGACAGTGCATGCTCGGAACGAACGAATTCGTAAATGCTGGTGTCCCACAAGGGTGTGCACTATCACCTGTATACCTTCTGTATATCAATGACATGTTGCAAACTAGTAGCATCGATTGCTATGCAGATGATAGCACAGGAGCCCTTTATACCGGCCGCCCCCAATATTTCTCGGGAAAACGTCATCGAGAGTCGAAATAAACTTGTGTCTGAAATTGAAATTTCTTTAGCGGAGGTTTCAGATTGGGGTGACTAAATCTAGTCCAGTTTAACCCAAAAAATACACAGGTATGTGCGTTCACAGCAAAAAAGATACCATTTGTTGTATCACCTCAGTTTGAGAGAACCCCCTCTAACTGTCTCAGCCAGCATCGGAATCCTAAGCATCGACATTTCGAGCGAAGTCCAGTTTCGGGGTCACTTAGAGGGTAAGGTCAAATTAGCCTCGAAGAAGCTCGGTGTCCTGAACAGATCAAGGCAGTATTTCACTCCGGCCCACCGCCTTCAGCTCTATAAGGCGCAAGTCCGGCCGCACATGGAATACTATTCTCATCTCTATGCAGGGGAACCTCAGTACCAGCTTCTCCCTCTGGACCGCATGCAACGAAGAGCGACTCGAATCGTCGATATCCGAAACATCTCCGATCGTCTCGATCCCTTGGCGTTACGTAGAGATGTGGCTTCACTCTGCATTCTCTATCGCATATATCATGGAGAGTGCGTCCGAAGTCCGAAGAATTGTTCGGACTAATACCAGCCGCAAATTTCCGCCATCGTTCCACATGCCAAAATTTTCATCCACATTACCTGGATAGTTGGCGCTCCACTACTGTGCGCTTTTCGAGACACTTTTTGCCCCGCACAACCAATCTGTGGAACGGAACGGAAAAGACATTGATAAGATCTAAAAATAAAAACGTCAACTAATAATGAGAATAATTATTATTAGATAAAAAACTAATAATAACTAATATTTTTTCAGGTATGATTTCTTTTTTCAAATAATCAAGAATTTCTTCGATAATTCAAAATTTCATTTAATAAAACATACAAAATACGATTTATAATAATTATTTTTATTGTGAGTGTACCATTTTTTTAAATATTAGCTTTAAGAGTCTTTTTGCGACATATGTACCGAGCTTTTGCTCACCACAATCTAACATCCCTGGCAGCATTGTTAATTTGTCAATGTCATACTACACATAGGTATTTGTCAAAAGCAATCACAAAAAAACTCAGTTTATAGTTGTGGTTGCAAATATTCGAACATATTAATTTACTCTTAAAGGGAGAAATAAAATAAATGTATATAAAATGTACGACCTTAAAGCGTGTATTGTGTGTCTTAGTATTGACGCAAAGTTATACAATATGGACAGTGGACAATTGAGATACGAGTTCCATTTAATTACAGGAATACGGGTTGGTATTGTTTGTTTATATTACTAAGTTATGCTTTTAAAACTTTTAGAAATAAATGTAACTTGAATGTGAAAGCAATCAGTAAGCGTTATCTCAGCTATTATTATATTTACAGACCAGTAAAGGCAGTGGGATGCCAGATTACTTATGTTATCAATGCTCAGCATATTTAAAGAGTTGCAAAAAGTTTCGAGACAGATGTCAACGGGCCCATTACGCTTTACAACAAATACTTAACATAAACAAAGAGGTAATATACCTGCAATTTGGAATTTATTCATTCACTCTAAATTATTTTTATTTACAAAATATATGTTTTTTTTTAGATAAAGAAAACAAATCTCAGAGATTTTAATCGCTCTTTATTTGATATTATGCCGTCTTTATCACTAATGAACTTGGAGAAAGCTCATTATGAACAAACTAAGTTTCAATGGACACAATATAACCGACTGTCTCATTCTAGTACTTTAAGGGTAAATGCCATGCCAATATTTCACTGTAGTACGTTGACTTCGGAGGATACTTTTAATACAGTGACTAACATCCCAATTGAAATAGAAATCACAAATGACAAAATTAAGAATGATATGGAAGAGGTAGTCCAGTGTGTCGTAAATTCTAACTTTGAATCAAGCAAAGAGGATTACTTAGCCGAATCAACCTCTAATGTTGAATTAGTTGATGCGTTTATGGATAATGATGAGACTTTCGCCAGTGACGCTGAACCAGATTCATTAGAACTTAACAATATTTGTAAGAATGAAAAAACAGAAGGTGATGTTGATGGATCAAATTTGGATGAAGAGTACGCTATGATGATACCTATATCGGTGAAAGAAGCCAAAGCTGCAATAGAAGTGTATAAAATGTTTAGTCATGGGAAGTTTAATTGTGAAATATGTAACAAAGCATATTTCAATGAGAATAGATTAAAAGTACACATGAGGATGCATGATAAGGTAATAAAATAATACAACAAATTAAAATTCAATAATATTTACTGCTATTCAAAGATTTCCTGCTTTAACAATGTAAATACTGGCACTATGCATTGCTATGTGGCAACACTGCTATGTTGACTAGAACAAAAGTTATGTAGACATCACATATTTTTAACTTTACAAAATAAACATTATTTTTATTAAGCCCAACTTTAAAGAAACTGTCCTTTTACTTAATGTTAAGTATAAAATTAAATTTAATATCTATTCAATATATATAACTCAAAAAATCAGAGGTGTGCACTCTGACTCATTAGACAATAATCACATTTTTATAATTTTGTTAACATCTTTTTCTGAAACACCTACGACAGCAAATTACTAACAAACCTATGATGAATTTACCACAAACATGTTAATATTTTAGGTTGCCATTTTTTTCTGTGTCAATTATGTAATTAATTTCCTTTCAGCACATAAGTGGCACATTTCACTGTGGACTTTGTAACTATTACTACAAAACTGAGTATTTATTAAAAACACACATGACAGAAAAACATATGTATAAATATGTCTGTAGGAAATGCCCGGATGTTAATTTTGATAGGTAAGTTGTGTTAAAATTGTGTGTGAATACATTTTGTAATTATTTTTTTCCAATTGCTAAAATAAACTGTTCAAATAATAATAATAACTTCACACATCTAACACACGGCCGTCTGATTTTAAACTAAGCAGAGCCTGTGCTATGGCAAAAAAACTACTGATAAACACATTATATATTTTTCATCATCATCAACAGCCTTTAACAGTCCACTGCTGGACATAAGCCTCTCCTTAGAAAGGAGGTTTTGGCCTACTATACCACGCTGGCCAGACGGGTTGGTATAGGGTTTTTGTCAAGTTTTCCTTCTCTCTGCAGTGCTGTTGTTCTGCGTGGTTTTTTACCTTAGTCAGCTCTTACGACACCCACGGGATGAATAGGGGTGGTGACACTGTATTCTTAAATCTAATTCTTAATACTACGGATATGTATATATTTTTAATATTTTTATATTAATATTAATTTTTATATTATAATAATTTATATTTTTAATATATACATATTATAGATAAATTACACCCAGACACAGAACAAGTCATCATGCTTATAACACAATTATTTGTCCTGGGTGGGAATCAAACCCACAACTTAACAGTCAGGGTCACTAACCATTAGACCAACAGGCCCAGGTTTGTTTCAAGTTTTCCTACTCTTTGCAGTGCTGTTGTGCTGCATAGTTTGTTCCCTTAGTTCCCTTTTACAACACCCACAAGATGAATAGGGGTGATGATAACTTAATTTATTAAAAGGGCAGAGTTGTACAATAGCACACAAACAAGTACAAGCTTAAGCAATATGATTTGTACCACTATAATGACATATTCATTTTAATATATGTTATGTAAAATATCAGAAGTATCTATAGCATCTACTTCACCTAACTACTAAACTTTATTATAACAAAGAAAAATATATAGCTTTTTTTTATAAAACCTACAACATATGTTTAATAATACACAGACCGAAACCGTGACCTCCGATGGTGGAGTTGGCTACTGTGCTGCCACACCATTTGGTGTGGCAGATTATTGCTTATAATCACTCACACACTAAAATTAAATAAACCCATTAAAATTACAGGACCTCTGCGAAACAGCACTATATATGGTCACATTTACAAAAAGGAAGTAAGAAAGATGCAAACTGGTACGAATCACGACCATCGTGGCTGAGTACCAAAGGTGGTAAAAGAGTTAAAGGAGTTGTCACTCTAAAGCCTGTCAGGAAGCTGAAGAAAGTGCCTAAAGACTTCTTACTGTACTCACCCATTCAACACGAAGAACAGTATGCCTTGGTTCAAGAGAGACAGAATTCCAGAAACTATAAAGAAGCGAAATTTAAGTGTAATTTGTGCTATAGAGGCTTTAGAGAAATGGTGACGTACAGCAAGCATATGAAAAAACACAATCCGGTCAGTATAAATTCAAAGTACCTGTTCATTTATGTCAGTAATGAGCATGGACTGTACGGATAGCGTAGTAGTTTAAGCGGTCACCTCGCCGCTTCCTACTGCGCTGAGTGTTGAGGATCCGATCCCCACATGGGACAATAATTTGTGTGATTCACAGAGTGGGTGGTTTTTGTGTCTGTTTAATGTATGTTTGTAAAGTTCCCCGCGACACAGGATATATATTCCTATTTCGGGCGTTGTCTTTTAAAAAAAAAAATATTATAAAAAATGGATGACCTACTGAACAAATTCCTGTTACTTCTTCTTGAGAAAAATAATCTTAGATCAGAGAATATAGTAGATATGGCTACTATGCGTACGATTTAATAGACGACCAAATAGACCCTTGTTAATTTTATGCATTTTCAGCACACGTTCAAGCCGTAAAAGTATAGGCATTCCACCACTACGAACTCTTGCATCTCTTGCTTGCAATACTCAGCCACTAGATCGTTCCCTTCGGCCGCCTACGTAACCACGTTTAGAAACCAATTTCGAAATAAGAATAATATTTCTTCTTTCGAAACTGGTTTCGATAAAAGAATATAATATTTAATCCTTAATAGTTTCGTATACGGCCGAAGGCAGATAGTTTGCACCAGTCGTTTGTGTTGTGTGTTATTTCTCGTTAATATTGTGTTATATTTGAAAGGACGCAATTATAATATTAAAGTATATTAAAATAAAGCTCACACACAATCCATATGATTATATCAGAAAACATCATCTCAAAAATGATAATATGCACGAGAGACATGGATGTATTTATACAAGTATATACAAACCGGTAATAACACTCGCTCGGTGATTAACGACACGACTCTCGGATCTATCGCTCGACCGATCCGAATATTGTATGAGAGCGAGCGGCCTGTGTTGGTAAACAAATCCAAAACAATACAACTGTTATTTTCGAAAATTTTAAGTTTAAAAATGAGTAAAAAGTAATAATTTGATTAAAAATTACTTACATATGAATGGTAACGCCATCTTTTTGTAAACTTGACGTAGCAGATCTCTTTTTGAAGCAAAAAACTTAACAATACGGCATTTTTGTAGGACAGCTACGGTCGTCTACTCAGCAACTCAACTAGATTTAGTCTAGTGAGCGGTCCGGCCACAACTAGTTTTATTATACGCAAAGGACCGTGTGGAAGTACAAGACTTTGGCAGAGGGGAACGCCTGCTTATGGCTACTCCCTACCGTGTTGCTCTATGCTTGCAGGTGTAATGGGCGACGGTATCCATGCTATAAAAAAAGTCCTTTAAAATAATTAAAAACTAGCATAACTGTTTAGCTTATTACTGCCGTAGCTTATTAAATAAACCCGTGTTTTATGACACTGTATGCAGTTGAAGCGATGTATCCTTTTTTTATGGATGAGGGGGCAAACGAGAAGACGGGTCACCTGATGGAAAGTGACTGCCGCCGCCCATGAACGCCAGCAACTCAGAAGTGCTCACGATCTTACAAAAATACGGTAATAAGTGTTTCTTTCTCTAACAACTGTATGTATGTTGCTGGAGACTAAAGAAAACGAGAGACTTATAATATTGCGTTATAACAGCTTATAATTTTAGTTTACAAAATACATGTGAATTGAGACGAATATGAAGGTATATTGTCGTGCGTACCGTGTTGCGTTAAAGCAAATTGTATCGCTGTCGTGGAGGGGTTTCAACCCCGCCTCCAGCGCTCCCGGCTCACGCGTCTGTCGGCCTTCAGTGCTGGCTGCGTCGCCGTGCCAACAGTGGTATTCATATTATCTCAAGACATACTGCTCCCGTATGTATTACGGGGATTCTAGATACTTGACGTATACATAATATAACACACAAGTTATAAATTCATATGCAGTATTAAGGTTGATCGAAATAAAGAAACACGGTGAGCCTTGTCGATTGCGAGGTGGTGTATCGTGATGCCTAATTCCTAGAGGTGTGTCATAACAGTTTTACGTTCGCACCGACCATTTTCGCTCCACTAGTAGATGCGAAAGCGGGTGCGTATATCTGCAACTACCCTCATATTAAATACTAACATCCTAATTACAGGAGCATGCGGGCCCTCTACAATGTGATATGTGCAAACTCCATTTCATGGACCAGCGTAGAATGTACAAGCACATGAATATCACTCACCTGTTCAAGTACTCCTGTCAGATGTGCACATATGTTTGCTATAATAGGTAATGTATATATAAATATGTGTATTTTTGTTATGCCTGGCCTGCTATGACACTGTCGTCTTCTGTCTGTACGCTGCTCATATTGATCTGTTCTGATATCGCCTCGCTCAGACGTATTGCTCCCACTCTGATGATGTCCTGCTATTAATTCCTCGGTGACTCTGCTTCCAACTGCCTATCCACGTTACACCTACCATAAGTTTCGGGCTACATGTATATTACATGTATATACATTGAGTTAAAACAACACTAGAGAAGCAAACCTCATTATCACACGTCGAAAAAAGTGTAACCACTTTTGAACTTTGACGACGTAGCTTTGATACCACTGAACATTTGAAAGTAAACATATTTATGTCTCATTTACACGCGAGACAAGAACAATACCATCGCTCGGATTAGACAAAGACAAAGACATAACTTTACGATGGTGGGCCAGTGTTGACTACCGTATGAAATTTTACCCATAACAACTAAGAAACAATTTTTTTTAAACAATTTTGTAATAAAATAAATTAATTTAAATATTCTAAATAATATATTTCGAATTGAATAGAATAGGTATAAATAATAAAATAACTGGAAATATTTGGTTAAAAGGGTTTATATTCAGTGTTAAATCAAACTGCGCTGTGAAGCATCAGTTTTGTATACAATTGTCTTTTAGACTCTTTTTTATAAGTTTGTGTGGATATTTTACTTTCATGATACAATCTTATTTTTACGTATGTAAAAATAATAGCATTTAATAATAAAAGTGAATGATCAACTTGTACTGATAATAAATAATCCCCAGGGTGTATTGCAAATTCTATTATAATTTAAAAAAGAAATAAAAAAAAACTATTTTTTATTTATATTTTATAAAAAAAATATTTATATTTATTTACTTTTTTATTTTATATTTTTATTTTTTATTTTTATGATAAACATTTTTTATTATTATTTTTTTTTTTTTGTACAATTATTATTTAAAATTGATAATAAATTAAGAAAAACAATGAATTAATTCTTTTGTACAAAAGTCTCCAGCACCAAGCAAGAAGAACGTTCAACGGGTCCCTAAAAAAAGTGATCGGTCCAGCCCTAACAACTACCGTTCTTCCTATATTTTATTATTATTGGCAAAATGTTTAAAAACAGTATAAAGCATATTATTTCATAAATTATAAATTCTCCCACTAATGTGGGAAAACCAAAATGATTTTTTAATGGTAACACTGATTCTAAATTACAATTATCAGTGTTTTATTTCAATTATAGCCTTATTTACGATATTATCAATACAAAAACCATAAACTTACACGTGAAAAGTAATTCCGCATGATTTATTAATGTTTTGTGACCTTGAATCGCATTCTTTCACTACGCATTTACCCATTTTGGCGATTGTTACTGTCATGTGTCGCTATGTTCAACTCGGTTGACGCCATTTTGAACACTGAATTGACGTTTGCTACGCATATGCCTGTGGACAGATGTGCAGTAGCAACGATTTTAGGCGGTAATTACTCATCTATGTAAGTATTATATCAATGTGTATATATATATCCACCGCACCTCCACTCAAATAACCCTCAAAATCATATTATAGAGAACAGTGCTAAATTACAACCAAATACAAAACAAATGATCGTGCTCATTACACTATTATTTGTCTTGGGTGAGAAATAGCGTAAAAAAATTGCGAAGGATTCGTTTTGTTTTTTTCGAAACTTAGTATCTTTTCTGTAAAATACATATAATTTTCGAAAAAAAAAACAAAAAGTCGACCATTCAATGTCACTATCATTGGCTTCGTCGTAAACTTCACCCGTTTTATGAAATGTAGGTTCTATTTCATGCGAATGGTCTATTTTCAAATCAGAGTTTACAAATATTGATTTGTTCAATCGATCTCAAGTTAAACGGTTGCGATCTTTGGTGTGTGTTTTTCCAATCAAAAGACCATTTTACGATGGTGGATTTTTCATTATTCTTACAACAATAGGAGACAATGGCTTTGACAGACACAATGCTTGCCACCAGTCGCGTGGATGTAGTTTGCTTGTTTCGGTCCATGCATTGACGTCATAGCTCATTGGAGCCACCCGACACCTTGTTAGTATTCTTTGTATGGAGTACTATGGGTATACGCTCACTACATCAACTCTGGAGCGCCCCGCCCCGGGGTTTCCACGCGCGGGCGGCGAGCGGTCCACTCGGTGACCGCGCGCTGTCTGCGAGTGGTTTACGCGCGAAAACGATGCATCGGCGGCACAACGCACCCCCTCGAATGTGTCTGCCGTATCGTTTTCCGGTTAACAATGCGGCATCCACGTGGACCACCCGTCGACAACGAGTGAACACCTGTCGAGGTGGTGCTGGTCGGGTATCGGGTGGGTGTAATGAGCTATGTCCTTTATTCTCCGTTATATTGATAGGTTTCCATAGCATTAACATTCATTAGCATTAACAATACGGTGAATAATGCATCTAAAAAAAGGTTTCCAGAGCAACTCGTTGCTCCAAAATTGACTTTGTGGCCTAAGTTCGGCCTAATTCTGACATATCAAGGTGTTGTCGATGGAAAACATATGTGTGAAATTCGTTGTCATCAAGGCTCACTGCTCTCTCACTGCATCATGTTAATGCGAAATATACGCCGTAAAATACATGTAAAAAACTTAAACTTTCGAAAGATTCAACCGAAGATCCGCAAGGAAACTTTCTGTATTTTATTGAAAAATACAGGGGCGTTTGAAAGATATTTGTATTTTACATGTAATTTTCAACGCTGGTGAGTAACGAACACAGATCCAGTCACGATCAGTGACCGTGGGTCACTAACTTCTAGTCCAATAGACCAATCAATGTATTAAATTATCAAAATGATAAATGTTTTTATTCCATATTGTATTTTCAGAGGTCAAGCACAAATGCATTATCGGTGGCATAAGAACGTCAAATATCAATGTCCTCATTGTAAAATGGAATTCGTGTAAGTAAATAATAATTTTACAGTTTGAAAATACAGATAGAAAGACTTGGTTACTCTATAATTAAACCCCCCAAGGACGTCTATTCTTCTATCATTCGTTAGTTTTGTTACTTACCAATCATTGAACATCTTAAATCCATTCCATACAGACTCATGATGCTATTAAAAACCTATAACTTTTTATATACCAGTAGTAATTCCAGCGATTACCTGGTTTAACTAATTACCACTCCGTTTTTTTTTATTAGTATAAACAAAAGTTACTGATTTTCAAACATATTCTTTACAGGAAAGCCTCAACGCGTCTAACTCACATTAGAATAAAGCATCCGTCTATGAACCTTTGTAACTTATGTGGGCACAGCTTCGTCAGTGAAACGGGCCTCTATTGTCACAAACAAATCGCACACACTAAAGAGGTTTGTTCCATGTTTTACTCATATCGGTGATGTATAGTCAATAGTATTAAGGTGCAAGACTTTCCTCGATACGATTTAAAGTAATTTTCCATTGGCCTGTGTTTAAAATACAATATTTGTTCTTTAGTTTTTTTTTTTTGAAATGATACAATGCATGCAATTTGTCTAATTATTATATAAAATAAACAGTCCTCATGAAATTAAGTTAAATATACCATAAAACTGCAAACACTTATTTCGCTTTTATTTTTACGTTTTAAAAACTAAAAGACTCGATGTTATGATGTCAAAGTATGATTTCGCAAATTGTTATTTCATTCAAGTGTTCTACAGAACTAAATAACATAACCTCATTAGTGATGCTGCCATTGACGAACTCTTATTCTTTTTTATAGGAGATAGAGTTGTGCGCAACATTGAGTGTGAACGAGTCGGACCCGGCGTACTGCGCCGACTGCAACATGCAGTTCGTGAGCGAAGCCGCATTCAACACGCACCTCGGGAGCTCCTATAAACATGCATCGACCAACCTGTCAGTCATTTTTAATAGACACTTTAATAAGTCCTTTCAAATTATTGCTCTCATAGAAATCTTTAGAGACTATTTAAGTTTAGATATGAAATTAGAAATGAAAGTGTTGCTAGGTTTTATGTAAATGTGAGGCAACATAACACTCCTATCGACTCAACCTATAATAGTCCACTGCTGGACATAGGCTTCTCCATGGAAAGGAGGTTTTGGCCTACTATACCACGCTGGCCAAACGGGTTGGTATAGGATTTGTTTCAAGTTTTCCTTCTCTTTGTAGTGCAACAGCACAACAACAGGACAGCAAACACGCAGGACAACAGTCCTGCGTAGTTTGCTCCCGGATCCGTGTTACGGTGACGGATTAAGAATACGGAATGTCACCACCCCTACTCATCCCGTGGGTGTCGTAAGAGGCGACTAAGGGAGCAAACTACGCAGAACACTCTTATGTTGTATGTATATAGGGTAAGAGGTAGATTGCCACACGGTATAAGAAGTTATGTGATCTATAAATAGTCTGAGTGTCCTTTGTCGGTTGTTTTAACGTTCATAAGGTCTCTCCTGACACATTAATCAGTTATTCCCTAATGTGGAATTGTTTTGCTTTTGTAAAATTTTGAAACTTGCTAAATTACTTTAACGCTTTCTGGTCTCAAGCGAAATAGATAGAACTGTATTTTAATAGCAAATTTATTCGACATAGTAGTAGTATTGGTATAATCAGTGTGTGGTTGTATCGGGCGGCGCAGCTCGTCCAAGCCGAGCCGGCGGCGCAAGTGCGAGGACAAGCGCAAGTCGCGCGGCCGCCCGCGGCGCGGCGCCTGCTCCGAGATCGTCAACAACGGCGTCACCACGCCCACCACCTGCGAAGTGGTAACGGACTCACGCACTCTTTATTAACACAGGGAACGCATGTTGCCCTTACTACGTACGTTACGTACTTAAAAAATTAACTATCATGGTCTCTTATAGTCAATTTTATTATTATATAATATTTTTGTATCTAATATAATTGGTTTGTATACACGAGAAGTTACTAATACCTAAAAAGATAATATACAAGGTGTAATGATGTAACGAATACTGAAATAGTACATTCTGAGTCGAAATTCATTGGAATTTTCTGCCGAAAAATTCATTTTTGTTTTATAATTTTCAATTTTTTTGTTAAAAAAGATGAAAAATGATATCACAATGATTAACAGAATATTTTACCGAAAACAATTTAATAAATACAGCATATGGTCAACAACTGAAATATTATTAAGCAAACAGCCGAAGCGCGCGGGGCCTGCCTCTCGGCCGCCAACTTCTGTTAGTGTGTTTGCACGGATTCCAAATGTAGTTGTTACTTTTGTGCGATACATACGGGGAATGACCTTAACCTTGAACAGCTGATTGCATAAAACATTTAACTTTTCAGCAGAAAATTTAAAATATTCGTTATGACGTCCCTTATACCCTGTATAATTTACACATTTTTTACAAATAATATCAAACGTGAACGAGTTTGCTCGTGTTCCAGTGTAACGTGGTGCTCGCCAACGACGTTCAGGCTCGCAAACACTACGAGTCCGAGCACCCCGACACGGAGTTCCTCAAGCGGTACATGTGTGACGTGTGCGGACACACCACGAGGGTAAGTTGCACACCGACATACACTATATAACATACTGTACAAAACAATGTCACAAATATTGCTACTAAGTATATATTAGTTATGTAAATAAATCAAATATATGACTGCTCGGATGACGTAGCGGTTTAAGCGATCGCTTCACCGCTTCCTACTGCACTGAGTGTTGCAGGTTCGATACGTGATCCTCAAATTTTTGTTCTAAGTTTGGGTGTTCTTTATGGCCGTTTTCTAAATTTTTGAAACGTCTTCCGCAACACAGGATATATTCTTAGTGCGGGAGATGTATTAAAAAAAAATGTATCCTGGTAATATTGATTAAGTAAGTTCATTAGTTACGAGTTAAGAACGCGGAGCGGCACCACCACTAATCATCCCGTGGATGTCGTATGAACTGACTAAGGGAGGAAAAAACGCAAAACAACAGCACTGCAAAGAGAAGGCGAACTTGACACAAACCCTACAACAACCTGTCTGGCTAGCGTGAGCTAAAACATCCTTTCTTAGGAGAGGCCCATGTCCAGCAGAGAACTACTAAAGGTTTTGATAATGATTGAAAAATCGCTCGTGTCCAAGTCTAGTGTAAGATTAGATAGTAAAACCTATGATGTGCCATTACACGGGCTTTTATAGTTACAAACATAAATCTGTAAAACTGTAATCGATTAGTACATGCTAAGAAATGACATCTAAACCTCTTAAGAATCAGATATTTTAGTGATCAATTTCTTTGACTCCATCGCTATACTTCACTCTGTTAGAACTGTCAAACGGTACCTCTAACTACCTAACTGTACAAACACATTGAAAATCAATTTAAACTGTCTATTGTAGCAATACGCGAACCTGTTAGTCCACATGCGCACTCACACCGACGAGAAGCCCTACGAGTGTCCGCACTGCGACCGACGGTTCAACATGCCTAGCAACAGGGACCGCCATCTCGTTGTAAGTATTTGTCAAACTTGTTTGAATAATAACCAATGATTGGGTAACAGTATGCAGTAATTGGTACCTACAGACACTACCAACATTTTTGGTGGCACTATTTTGTCTATGACTGTGACTGCCTGTATTTATTGAATTCCACGCCCATATTGTATGTATAATTTCGTATTATGTTTTAGGTGCACACGGGTGAGAAAAGGTACCAGTGTCAACATTGTAACCGTCGGTTTACACAAAGCAGCGCTTGCAAACTTCACATACAAACCGTTCATTTCAAGATACCTTATGCGCCTTGGAACAAGAAGAACCGTAAACGGCGCAAGGTGACCTACTTAATATACCTTATGACTTAATATTTATCTACTCCAGTTTTTTACCTATGAAATTGTTTTTCGAACGCTTCCAACTATGCTCCACATGTCAGTTTACTTTGTGTAAAGTCTGCAGTCATCCGTTCAATGTGAACTTGTCTTTGTAATTTTTTGGGACTTGATTGGTAAGGGGGCGGGGCTTGATCAGTAGACAATGATGCGTCACTATTTTTTTAACGCAAATTAACTATATTTGTGTTTATCTAGTTCCAGAGCCTATAGTAGCTATGCTTATTTGTTATATTTTGTGTTGTTATATGTCCTACAGTACCTATTTTAAGTAGAATCTTTGTTGGTTAACAGGAGTTGGAGACTGCAAATTTAGCCGCCACATCCGTTCTGCCGACACAGCACAAGCTCACGTTCGACACCCAAGGCGATTATCTCAACGCTTACATCACTTATAATGACGAATAAGGAACTGAAAGATAGAACAGAAAAGAAGAATTGGTGTTTACATTTTAAATGATAACCTGTTTCTATTTTTAAGTCAATTAATCAATCAATTACACCTCGCGTTAATAGTAAAGAATCGTGTTGTACGGTGAATAAGGATTATTTTACACCAAATAAGAGTGCAGAAACTGTACGGATGGCGTAGTGGTTTAAGAGGTCACTTCGACGCTTCCTACTAGGCTGACTGTTGTGGGTTTGATGTGTGGACATAAGACAACACTTGTGTGATCCACAAATTGTCGTTCTGAATCTGGGTGTTCTTTGTGTCCGTTTCATGTGTGTGTGTAAAGTCCCCTGGAACACAGGATATATTACTAGTGCTGTTTTTATATAAAAACGCACAATCTCCTAACAACAGATTTGGCTGAATACTTGGACCAGAGCTCAGTATCGACATTTAAATTAACACGTTCTCGCGTTAATATAAGGGAATGTATAAAACCTAATATTTGAAATTGGCAGATCTCACTGTATGTTTTTATTTCAAAGTGTTTATCAACCTTTAAGTAAGCTCTAGACATAATTTTATGAGCAAATCCGAAGAACGTCAATCAGGGATGGATGATGAAGTAACTTTGACGAAGTCACTTTAAATAAATGAAGCCCAGATTTAGAAATAATTTTAAAAGCATATCAAATTATTCTTGTAATACTTGTAACACAAGTTTAAAGCAGGATAATCAATCTTGTTTTAAGAGCCATTCTTAATATAATATTTTGATCAACATGTCAATTACATTTCATTGTGATCCTACTTTGTCAGTTATTTCATCAATTTTATTCAAGACTAGCTGGTGCCCGCGGCTTCGTTCGCGTGGAATTTGAAAAGCGCTGTCTTAGTAGTGTAGTACGGTACGCGACTGCAGTTCATAAGCTCTCGGGTTCGATTCCCGGACCTGGCAAAATTTTACTGGCTGGTTTTTCTGTGATGATTTTATTAAATAGCCTAAGTTATTCCTTATACAGATAGCGGTCTGATAGAAACATTTTATCAAAATCGGTCCAGCAGTTTTGAAGATCACCAGGAACAGGCAGACAGATAGACAAAAAATATTTAAACTGGTTTTTAGACATATGCATAGTGCAAATAACCGAGTATGAATAAAACCTATTACTTTGATATTACAAACAGACACTTATTTTTTATTTTTTTTAAGGCGAATGGACTATAGACCTGTCGGACGGCTCAGTTTAGCTAAAACCCATTACTTCCCTCGCTGCAAGGTATTATTGTATTTAGTATAATAACGAGCGCTATATTTATATAATATAAAATTAAATCATGGAATTTATTATGTGAAAGTTCACATTAACATTATTTTGATTTTTTTTACAATTTGAAGTAGCCTGTGGAGTATATAGTCTTGGACATAGTCAAAAGCGCATGAAAATTTATAACAGTATAGCGCTCACTGCCAATATATTGTGCTTCTTTTTATAAAAAATATAATTGTTTATACATTTTTTAAACGTAATAACATTTAAGACAGCCATGATTTTCTGGATATACATTTTATATTAATAGGTAATAACTAATAGTGATTTGATAAAGTAAATAGCTTTATTGTATGTTTTGCACTAAGTATAAGTAATGTAGGTATGTAGTACTCGTTTTACTCGTTTGACTCGAATTTAGTGCGAGTAATACTATAGTGGATCTGTATTTATAAGAGACATAATAATCATAGCATAAATGTACCTGTATTTTGACGGCCTTGTAATATAATTTTTTTAATAAAAAAAAATGATAGATCTGATATAATTTTATTAAGTCGTACTGTTAATATACGTAATACCTAATTTATGAATAAATGTCTGTGACACAAGGCACAGGTTCAGGTCGCAAGGCAAGGGTCGGCAGCAGCGTGGCCGCCCTTCCCCCAACACTTAGTGGAGGAATACGTGCTCTCCCAGGGCGAAAGCAAAGTTGGGACACACCTCTGGTTGGAAAGTTGGTTTGTTCAATACAGATGATTGCTGTACTTCATAGTAATCAGTACAATTGCCGTAGTTTCAGTTGTCCGTGCGGTGACGGATTAAGAATACGGAGTGTCACTACGCCTACTCATCCCGTAGGTGTCGTAAGAGCCGACTAAGGGAGCAAAACTACGCAGGGTAACAGCACTGCAAAGAGAAGGAAAACTTGAAACAAACTCTAAACTAACCCGTTTGGCCAGCGTGGTATAGTAGGCCAAAACCTCCTTTCTAAGGAGAGGCCCATGTCCAACAGTCGACTAAACGCCGCTGATGATGAGTATAAATTTAAATAAACCAAAATATTTAAAACAGATTTATTTATTAATCATGAAAACAATATTTAAAACTTACAATAGCAGCTATCAACAACGTTCAAATACTTTATACAGGTCATTTAAACTGGCTATCTGTAATATAGCACCATTGTGTACAAAACTCGTAGGTGGTAGAAAGTTCTTTCTAATCGCAGGGAATATTATATGCTCCTGTTTCCACTCCTCGGCTTTCAAACTCTCGGGCGTTTTGTCCGGGTTTGGTTGGGAATAGAAAATGGCGGTCTGTCGACTAAAGGTGTCGAAACATTCTTTTTCAGAGTCCCAGTTCACTTCTGTGACTAAACGAATGAGGTATGTTGGTAAAGCGCCCATAAATGGTGTGTGACCGTCTGCAATCACGATATAAACAAATTAAGTATGTATGTGCAAATATTAGTTAAATAAAATAATTAAGCTAAATAATTGATCCCCCTAATCATAGTGCTTTTGAGATTTAAAATTATCCCTCTTAGATGTCTGATTAGAGACCTTGTCAAACTAATGTTACTCAAGCGTCATCATCATCATCCAGCTGAGCTCACCAACCGAGTGTGAGTATTAGAAAAATCCCCTAGCAAGTAGAGCGGGCGTATTAGTATAATAAAATTCTATGAAATCTTACGATAAAAGTTGAATAAAAACTCGATTGTCAGTTCTCCAGATAAAGTGGCCTGTCTAATCAGAACCCAATTTATCTTTCTAATTACTAAATCAAAATACTAACCTAACAATAATGGCAGTGAAACCAGATCACCGCTGCTGGTTATATCCAGTGAGAAATACTCATACAACATGGCTTTCTTGCTCACCAACACTTCAGACATTTGTACCGCCATCTCTCGCATATCACCTGTAATTGATTGTTTATATTTTTAAGCAATTTTTAATTATAATCTGTTAAAATCTGAAACGGCTTTAGGAATATAGGTCAAATTGTTACAAATTATTTATGTGTATAGATAAGATTTGTGTTCAATTTATCTTTATTAATTGTATCATTAAAAAAACAGGAGCCCAGTAGTGCAGATTCTGTAAAATAGAGTCATGTAGACCGCTTACAGGACTATCATAACATTTTACAATATCTTTAACTTGCAGATTACGTCAAAATCTTCACTTCAATAAAAACAAACGGTGCAAGACATACACCATATTACAAGATATAAAACCAACAACCAAACACTTCATAAAACTTCGGTAATAATACTACATGTCTACTACCTAATTCAGAATCCCATTCATTTTCTTGTGTACTAAGGCCAAGAAATATCAACTCTTCTAGAGGTAGTGGACTCGATAACTTTATGAGACCAAAGTTCTGGAAGTCATACAACATTGTTTCATAGAAAAGTTCTTCTCTGCAACAAAATCAATTATATATATATATATACTAGCTGACCCGCGCAACTTCGTCTGCGTCTCTCAATAGTAATAAATTTTCTCCGTTTTTGAAACATTCTTCATTGGTGCTCCGCTCCTATTGGTCTTAGCGTGATGATATATAGCCTATAGCCTTCCTCGATAAATGGGCTATCTAACACTGAAAGAATTTTTCAAATCGGACCAGTAGTTCCTGAGATTAGCGCGTTCAAACAAACAAACAAACAAACAAACTCTTCAGCTTTATAATATTAGTATAGATTATGCTTCAAAATACCCAATTATTTAGCAATAATAGGTATAGTAGCCACAGACATATACATTAATTATTTACATTATTATATATATTATTATATAATATACATTATTAACGATTACAGAATTTAATCTCAGGATGTAGTGACTACAAAAAAAGGAGACTTGACAACAATTAATTTATACTCACGCAAATCTAGTGGTATCACACAAATATAACTTTGTGGAATGCTGTATTAGAGATTTACGACAGTCTATGCACGCTATGAATATAAGATTCGCCAGTATTTCTCTCAGATTATTATTGCAATTTCTTTCCACCTCCAGCCTTAGTTGCTTTACACTGGTAAGTCTCGTTTCCACTCTTTCATACTTAAAAGTTCTTGTTTTGAACGATTCTTTTGGATCTATGTACGTGATATTGGCTTGGTCGTTAGTCGCGTGAACCTTCCATTTTTCTGATTTATCAATGTTATTTGGTTCTTCGATTAATGAGTTTTCTATCTCTTTTTCGGCATTTTTCTCCTCATCGACAACTATTTCAGGCACAGATAAATTATTTTCTTCTTCAGTGTGTACATCATTAGCGATTGTACGAAAGAATTTGTCAATTTTTTGGACATCTGAATTGACTCTGACCATGTACGAAGGGTTAACTTTTGTTGAGTCGGTTGTAATCTTTACTATTTCTTCGACAGCTGTAGCACCTGGTAACCTGGCCTGAAAATGATAAGACGTATATGATTTTAAAGTCATAAAATTTATTTATAACTACAAATCAAGTTTATTTTATCGTACATACGTCTTTAACTCCGACGTAAGTGTATTAAAACGCCTATATTTTATCCGACTATGATTTTAGTCCCACTAGGGAATATGCATGTATTTTTTTAATTTTTTTAAACGATTCTACTCGTTATTACATTACCAAAAATAAATATAACACATCCGAAATATAAACCGTTAAGCAAAAAAAAATTATTAATATCACTATCATTTTGGGGCAATTTGAACACGTCCATTTTGGCACGCTTTTTTTGTGACGTCAGACTACACTTTCAGACGAATTCGATGTCAACAACGGAGTGAAGTTCACAAAGTTTGTGAAAGTTAAAAAAGTGAGTGATATAAATTAACTTATTACCATGGAAAAGCCAATAAAAATTTATTATAAATATTGTGCCGTTCCTTTGTGCCAAAATAATATCAAAACTGTACCTGACAAAGTATATTCAGTCATTGTGTTGAGTCTTTCTACACGGGAATTTAATAATTTAACACTGAAAACGTATTAGTTATTAACTTGAACAAATAATCACCAGAAACCAAATATTACAAATACACACAACTTGTTGACACTCTTGACAGTGTAGGTTGACGTCACGTTTTATTCAACCAATAGTGTTGCGTTTTAGAAATTTGCGAGGGAATCTTAAAAAAGCCAATTTTTGATGATTAAATTTCACTATTAAATTAGAATAAATTTCAAAAATAATTGTATGGGTATCTTCTTTTAGCAATAACAATTACAAATAAAAATATTTTGTCCATTTTGGTGTCACGTGCATATTCCCTATTGCATATCGCGTATTAATAAGCGTATTGCTTTCAACCGGGCACATGCGAAAGTGTGTCTGTCGGTCTATTACCTCTTCACGCTTAAACCGCTGAACCGATTTAGATGAAATTTGGTATAGACATAGTTTGAGTTCCGGGAAAGGGCATGTGATAGTTTTTATCCCATAAATCATCCTTTAATGGGGTGTATTGAGATTGTTTGATTCTTGATAACGGATAGGCTACTTTTTACTGGGATAACCAACATACACGCGAGCAGAGCCGCGGGCAAAAGCTAGTATATTTCTAAATATCTAACACATGGTGGGAATCGAACCCACAACCTCTGGTATAGCAGTCACGATCGCTAACCACTAGACCAACAGGCGCAACAATTACTCTTATTATTAGATTGAAATAATATCTTCACTTATATTTAATACATACCTGTGTGTACATCACTCTGGTGGAGTTACAACTGAGCAGTTTGCTCTCTATACAGCTCTTGATCTTTTCAATAATCTGCTCCTCATATAGAAACTGGACCTCGTGTTTGGTCGGGTGTACATTCACATCTACGTTACGGGGATCTACGAACATACAGTTGTATAGTATAACTACGGCTGACAAATATTCAAGCATGCACATAATGATCACACAGCTAATTTCGTGTTTGCGTAAAGATGTCAATCACCATCACCCATCACCATTGCTATCTTTTTCTTTATGTTATTTGGGTTCGGCGCAATATATATATATAACCTAGCAAAATGGTTTTCTTTAACTGGTTTCGATCGGCCGCATGCCTAACAGCAGCCCTTGGGATAGGGAGATAGGGTCTAAATTTACTCACAATTTTTTTTGAAATAATGTGTTCCTGTCATTGATTTAAAAACTGTACTTACCCAATTCTAGGCTAAGGTACACGAAGGAGTGCGAATTCTTGGGTAAATAAGTCGAATACACTGAGTCAACTGCTTTCCTTATAGCTGAAAATAAATAAAAGAGTTTAATTACGTAGTGGCGAAATTTGAATCCAAATATTACGTTAACTTATTATTTTCTGACAAAGTTTTTCATTTAGGTAATAAGATTTATTTCTAAAGAATGTTCTTCTGTTAATATTTAGAACTTATTTTAAACCAGATTTTGCTCTCGGCTTTGTTCGCGTAAAAGTTTTCGGCATTTTTTTATGGATGAACGTGGCACCCTATGTAATTTTCTAGACCCATAACAGTTTGTCCTTTCGTGATTATAAGTTCGAACAAACAAACTAAGAATTTAACATTCGCATTTGTAATATTGATTTGGATACAAAAATATTTTAAAAAATCGAGTGTGTAAAGGTGGCTTTCCACAATGCCACAATGCGTAATTCTGCAAGATTGCTCTCCACGACGAAGGACCATGGAAATCTACGCAACGCACAAAGGATCTTGGACCGACGCGTTTCGGTATGTATCGGTGTCGAGATTTAAAGTTATTTTGTCATTTTAAAACGCAGAGTGAAAGACAATTCAACATGCAATGTGTGTTGCACCGTTGAAGTTGCCAAATCATAACAAACCGGAAGCACAGCTACAGACTTGTCTGAACATTCACAAACAGTACCTTGCCCTTGACGTCGAGCTGGTCCACAGCCGAGACTTTGCACAGGAGTGTAATCAAGAATCGATCAAAAGTCCATATTTTAAGTTACCGTGTATTTAGTTAAAAAAAAACGTGACAAAACACTTACATTGGGAATCAACAAGCCTATGATTGATGAACAAAAGCATGGTTCCCTTCTTATGCGAATAGTTAACGTTAGTTATACATCCACACAGTGATAATTTCAATGTGGGATCTTCCAATTCTATTTCCATTAACTCACGAGCTATTGCATTACCATGGATCTGCAGAAAGAATAGCACTATAATAATATCATCATCATCATCAACAACTGTTAATAGTCTACAGTTGAATATAGGCGTCTCCTTAGAAACGAGGTTTTGACATACTATACCACACTTGCCAGACGGGTTGGTATAGGGTTTGAGTCAAGGTTTTCTTTCTTTTTTGCAGTGCTGTTATCCTACGTAGTTTGCTCCCTTAGTCGGCTCTTACGACAACACGGGATGAATAGGGGTGGTGACACTCCGCATTCTTAATCTGTCACCACACGGACAGATAAGGAACAGGAAATAGTGATATGTAAAATGGCAACTGTAATCTATTTACCAGATATTCAGGCATATAGACTGCCTAGGTGCTGAATATTGGCTTATTACAGAGGTACTGAAAGGTGACTAGCAGAAAGGTGACTAGTTCCCGGACCTCCTGTTATTTGTCGTCAGAATATGACACATCGTGTAGCTTAAACGCTTAAGACTGTATTACCATAGAATTATTGTCGTCTAGTAGGGGGCAATAATTATATCGTCTACCCACGTAATACCAGTAATACCGTAATACCGACTTAGCAAGAGCTTAGACAACTTAGCTGGAGAGATTAACGAGAATACAAGTAATGTGTAACCCTTGCTTGCTAGTCTTCCTCATACCTTCTAAAATATTTAATTGGATAAAGAACAATAATGTATTAATAACCCCTTATTTTTAAATGAGGTTTCTTTTTTTTAAAGATAAAATTGGTAGGTTGGTCGGCTTATGGTCTACTACATTAACAGCCTTTACTAATCCATTGCTGCACATAGGCCTATTCTTAGGAAGGAGGTTTTGGCTACTATGACGCAGCAGAATTTCGATAACCTCAATTATAGGCGATATCGAAGTTCTGTAGATAGACTCTTATCGGACTTTATAGGGTATGACAACTGGCTTAACGTGTTTTCCATGGCACGGAAGACCCTTGTTACTAGTATTCTTTAGAAAAGTACCTTTGTGTGTATTTCTAGCATAGGATTTATAATAAAAGATCGTAAGCTGTAACAAATTATGAATGGGTTGCCTTGTGTGTTTAACATTGACTTTGACCCCACAAACACTGGAATCTTACTGCACAGACATTAAAAAAGTGACTGAATAAATGTGTGAATCTAAAGCGTTCTAAGATCGCCGAATCTTTCTATCATCATATCCTCATGTTCATTGTAAATGGCGAGTATGAACACCATTTACAATGAACACCGAAACGCAACAATGACAAATACTCCATGTATAGCTTCCCAGTGCTACGTAAGGCAATTCACTCTTTACCTTTCTGCTAAATAGAGGTGATTTTAGATTGGTTTGATGAATTTCTGGTTAATGTCAGTAATTGTTTAAACACGGTGGGTTCCTGTAGTCTTTTACAAATTAATTGGTTTACAAGGTTTACTATAATAATGTTAGTAATAACTTTCTTTCTGAGTTCATTAAAATAAACTTTTGTGACTGAGATGTGTTAGGCATTCCAATCTCTTCCGTTCTGAGTAATAACAGTAATAATAACATTTACTTACAATTCTCACGTTCTCAATCACAGAAGATTTAAAAGGTGTCTTCAAGTCAGTATTTTCACCAAACTTTTTCAAAGTAAATCCAACATGACTGTTGTGTATTGCATACCCTCCCACAACTTCCATAATATGTGAGTATTCTTCAGTAGGACTCCTAAGAGCTTTCTTCCTTGCTATCACATTGTAAAATAGATCTTCAACTGTTATTTGAGTACCATTATTTCCTGCACATGGTTTTATAGGTGATTTCAGTTTACCATTCTCATATGATGCTCTGTAAACAATAAATATACTTACACACTACATATGCATTTCCTTTAATCTGTATTTAAATGTATAGTGTATATGTATATGTGTGTAAGTATATGTTTAGTTATTTTACTAAAGAATAGTAAATGCTTAATTTTTATTTTATTTTACATATAAACAATAGTTAAAGGTGGTGGTTTATTAAATATATAAAGTATAGATCTATAATATATTAGTTGTGAGCTCAACTTTGTCTGTTTGTAGTTGAATCTTTTTTGGTGCTTTTATTTTGTATTAAATTACAAGAAAAATATAAATAAAATAAAATTATTGAAAGTTCTTAGTATCAACAATTATTATAGAGGCATATTTTCAGTATTGTCATCATCATCTACATATTAAGTCAATTATAGGTACCAATTACTTGGTAAGCTTTAATAATACTATGGATAACCACAGCTTACGAAGTAAGTACCCGTCTAGTAACTACCATGCTGTATTTATAAGAATACAGCACCTAGTGTAACAAGGACCTACATGATAAAAGAGTTATTGTAAATATACTTACTTATAAGCACATTTAGCTGAGGCAGTTTTAGTGAGGATTGTAAGGTGAGCAATATGGCTTATACTAGCTAGAGCCTCTCCCCGAAACCCATATGTGCATATCTCTTTTAAATCCTCATATTTAGTAAGTTTCGAAGTCGTGAATCTTTCACAAACTATGTCTAGGTCCTCACTTCTGATGCCAGCGCCATTATCTTGAATCTTTAGAACAAACAATGATAATGTTATTTGTGATGTCTATGGTGTATGTCTTTAATTCATTCAAGCACAGGCTTTACCAATTCATACCTGTAAAAATTTTAAACCACCCGCTTTCACAGTTATCACAATACTGGAAGATTTTGCATCCAAACTAAAATCGAAAAACTACATTATAATATCAGGTAATGTTCTTTAATTTAAGGAACTGTTTCTTTTTTAGGTTTCTACCTGTTTTCAATTAGTTCTTTTAAAGCATTTGAAGGACGTTGAACAATTTCACCAGCAGCTATGCGATTAACCACTTCTTCACTTAATTTCTTTATAATGCCTGGTTCACCCATGATTTATTGATGATATTAATGGTACCAATGTTAATATCACTGCCTTTGTAATATCTTTATAAGCATTACTTTACATAGAGGCATCTAAATATCAGTGCAAACGTAAAATAGCGGCAATAACATAACCTTAACATTCTTAAATGTTACCTCGAAAAACCAAAACAAATATAAACTTAAACCACAGATAATTCATTTTTATTAGAACCTGTTTCATACATAGAGATATAAGTAAGGATTTAAGCATTTATGCTTATTTTTCTCTATGGTTTCAAATCTTTACTCGTGCATTATGAGTTATGAAAAGACAATTATCTATTTTAGGTATAAAGTAAAACTATTCAACATCAAATTTACAGTAGATGTTTTGAAGGTGTTGTAAATTCATTACATGAAAAAAGGTATTCAGAATTTTTAAAACTCAAAATTAAAACCACAAAGAATGGTCTAATAATGTTCCTTGGAGGTGTCTTTCCTCAAAGAATCTTGGATCAAAATACAAACCAGTTTTTTTTCTGGGGAATTGAGTCGGTTCTTAATTGTTCTTTACTAAACTACTAACTTTAACTAAATGTTAAAGTAAAATTTGTTTTCCATAATAAGAATATTTTCTAGTTTATCAAAAGCAAGTTAAAAAACTAAAATACTAAATGCAGGCCTTTCCCTCCCAGTAAAAGTAATGTTACCAGGCTAAATCAACCCAAAGGTGCAATTTTGTGAAAAGCAATAAATTAGATAAAAGTCAGGGTTTATTTTTTATTACTATTTTAAATAGGTAAGTAAGTATATTTTAATGTTATTCTTATAAAATATGCATATATGAGATCAGTGTTGTTAGAGTCTGGAACCTAGGCAAATTAAAAAAAAAGGGAAGGCAGCTTTAGAGATAATACAGATATAGGGGAGAAGGCATTGGATTCCCTGTAAGTGGAAAAGCGATGTCGGTAAACAAATCGCCGTCTTTTTTCTCTTTCTACCAATATCTCCGGATCGTGACTCGTTTCTCTCCTCTCTCTATATAATATATATATATAGAATATTATTATCTCTATGAACGCAACATCGGATTTAGTAGGAAAAAGAGGTTTTGATACTTTTATTAAATGCCAAATATTATTTACGCCAAGTTTTTCTGGTGTGGTCAAATTACCGATTGTAGAGAAATGAGTAACAGGGAAATATATTTTCAAATAGTTCTTGAGATTAGTTTGATTTTTTTTTTATAACCTCAATTTCACGAAAGAGCATTGCCAATAGTTGCAACACTGGCAACTAACCTGACAGATCAGTATTTATTCTCTACTTTATTATGGAATCGATTGAACAGATGTCGAAGATATCGGTATAGCGCATTGAGTGTAAAGTTGTTAAAGTTTCCGAACAAAGAAAGACAAAATAGTATTATACAAACCTACAACCATAGTAAAATCGTTTTGTATTGCTTTTATTCCAATTACTTTGTCAGCCTGTTTAGTCTTTTGCTTAATTACAAGAATATTCACCACGATTTTTCCTCAATAAAATGGATTGGATCGCTGATACCGAAATGGAGGATGATGATAGTGATACTGATGATGAAAATGAGTTAAAGCGGCTTGATGCGGCTCTGGAGGAAGCTGATATTGCAATTTCTGACACGGGTTTACCTAAATCATCGAAATGGGTATATTCCACCAATGCTACTCATTACATGGCTTCACCCAACGCAAGCTCTCATTCGTACCCTGAGGTCTTAATAGACTCAGTACCATCACTTGTCACTGCTACCAATTCAGTTGAAACACCAGGTCACTGTTACTCAAATTCTAAGTCACAGGCCACATCATTACCTCAGACCGCGGCTCCGGCGCTCACCAACCCACAATTACAAGAATTATCTAGGTTGAATACCTTATTAGCACTTAATAAATTATATGATGAAAAATTACGACACTTAGAAAAGATTTTGAGTTTGCGTTTAAAAAATTGTCGTACTAAACTTGATGAGATACAGAACAGCAGTGCCCTTCCGGAAAAAGTTGAAGTCTTCCGTTACATTAATTGTGGAAGGCCTTACTTCAGAGACCACCTGAATCGTTCAGCTCCAGACAATGAAGATGCTATAATGGCCAAAGCTCAAATGTATGACTTCTCTTTACTAACTTCAGTGCCAGGATGGACAGTCAGGGATAAAAACCATTTTACCAATGTGATGACACAAACATCACTTGAAATTAGGAAAGAGGAATATAATAAAAAAATCAACATGTTAAAAAAATCTATAGCAGGTAAAAGAAATAAAATGATTGAAAAGGAAATCAGTAAGCTGAGAAACGAACGTGATAGTTTAAATGTTAAATTACCTTTTATACAATTAGCTCTCCCGTTAGATCAGGAATATGACTGGGACTTGCTGGCAAATAGGTTAAACAAGAGACACACACCACATGAGTATCGCTGCCTATGGAAATTATATTTTCATCCTTCAATAAACAAAACCAGTTGGAAAAATTCTGAACATAGCACTCTGCAGACGCTTGCTTCTGATCACCACAATCAAGATTGGGATGAAATTGCTAGAAAACTCGATACAGGTAGAACTGGTTATCAATGTTTTGTGTATTTTCGTACAAACATGACTAACACTTGCATTGGAAAGAAATGGACCTATGAAGAAGTCACGTACCTGAGAAGACTGATAGATTATTTTAGAGAAGATGTTTATATTCCTTGGGGTAAAATTGCTGCAGCAATGGAAAATAGAACTAAAATTCAAATCTACAATAAATATTTGCGGATCATTGAACAAAGAAAAGGAAGATTTCTACCTGAGGAAGATGCTGTTATACTTAATTGTGCAGAAAGATTTGGACCTAACTTTAAGAAAATGACTGAATACCTCGCACATAGGTCTTTGGTCCAAATACGCTCTAGGTTCCAAGTATTGAGTAAAATGCGGGTTTCTACTGTATGGTCAGTAGAAGATGACAGAAAACTCATACAAATTATGAGTAATCAAGATTCAAACATGACTTTTTCAGAAGCAACTAAATTTTTCCCAGGTAGGAATCGAGTAAATATAAGGTCCAGATATATAACTTTAATAAAATGGATGAAACGGAATCCTAATACAGATATAGAACTTGCACCGAGACGGGGTGCACGACGTCTTAACCATGGGCAGGCAACTCATGACTTGAATAAAGCTATTGAAAATTTAAAAAATATTTTAAATACAGAAGTTGCAATTAAAAAGGACCGTAGGAAAATCACACGAGAATCAGATGAGGCTGATATAGAAGATGCTATAGTTGCAGCTCTAGTTAATGAAGGTGTTAAAGAGCAGGAAAGCAGAAAATCTGCTTATGATGGTGTCCTAGTGCTGCCTAATGACACAGTTGTGACAAATGAAGAATTAAATTTAACTAACTTACATAAATTTCTTATGTTCTTAGGTTCAAAGTTAAATAGAGGCTTATATAGGAATTCAAATTATAAAGAAGTATACCCTCAGTTGGGTGAGTGTGATAAAGATGTTAGTTTAATTAAAGTCAAATCTTATTCTAGAAAAAACACAGTTAAAACTATTAAGATAGAAAATATGCCAGATGTATGGGGAAATAATGTTTTAACTTCACGAAATTATGTTTTACCACCCCACTATGCAACTATAACGGGATGTAAAGCACTGATGTCACATGTAACTTTATATGCCGCATATTGTAATTGTATAAATATGCATATCCTCACGAGAAGGAATTCTGTATTGAAAGACCTGATGGATAAACTGTTGGAACGCTTTTATATACTGTTCCTATGGCCAATGCTTCTTTCAAATGAAGGGCCTCAGGATTTTAATAATACAAAGTTACAAGGAGAACCTTCATTCATCAGTTACTCATCACAGCCACAAACAGTACTACCACAAATTAAATTACCACAAGCTCCTGAAGTGACAATAAAGTTTAACAGTTTGAAAAAGTTCAAAAATGCTGATGTGTCTGAAGTAATAGATTTATCTGAAAATGAAAGCTCTGAAAGTACTACAGTTCCACAAATTTTCAGTGATGAGAATGATGTCCCTAACAATGTCCAGATTTATATGGACTAAATATATATCTATAATTGAAGATCATAACTATACTGAGGAAATTAAAATGCATAAGCACAGTTTTTAAAGAGGTTTCATATAAAGTGACCCACAGTTGTTCAGAATTATCATTGGAAAATGGACAAAATATTGTTCTAACCATTGCCATAACAATATTCAGTAGTCTTCCATTTTGTAATTACCATATTGTATGGTAAACCAATAGATATTTATATTGCAGCTTATTCTAAAACATTATTTCTCTTAATTTTCATTCACACTAGCTAAATGTTGTCTTCTTTGTTGCAGTTTTCACAGCTTATTGTTAAACATTATTTTTGTTAAATTTCATTCATACTAGCTGAATGTTACCTTCTTTGTTGCAGTTTTCAGTTGCTAAATAAAAAAAATCCTTTGCATTGATGAAAAGACTGGAAACTGAATTATGGTTTTAGTAATAAACTTATTTCAATTGGTATAGATTTTTTATTTATACCTTAAACTATTCTAATTGTTATACAGTACATTTAGACTATTTGTATATTTTGATCATCACAAGCAAACTAGTCGATTAAATCAGTGTTTGAATCATCTTGTGTAAAATAGGTTATTTTTGTATACATATAAGTTAAAGTTAAGTTACTACTACTTATTTAAGAATTGTGAAATTCAGTACGATTAAGTCTGTGATAAATATTTGATACTCCGAAAAGCAATGTTTTATTAACAAATTTTATATTTAACTTAATACTGGAGGTAAAGTAAATCGTCTATTTTTGCAGTTTCTATTACTAGCTAGAACGTGTGGAGGAACGGGTGTCAGACCTGGGCCGCAAACTAACTGTTGACGTTAGGAATTTGTAATACCTGGCTTGAGAACTTTATAGCGCAATTCAGGATTAATATGTATTCCGTAGTTAAAGTATGTTTCCGGTTGTATGTTTGTGGAAGTAATACTAACTAATATTCTCATTGTATCGCTACAATTGAATCAATTCTGTTATAAGCATGATTACCTACATCACGTTTTAAAAATAGAAATATTGTTACAAATCTCTAAGTAAGTTAAATAAATATGGTTTAACTTCTCATGTTTGTTTTTATTTAATCCCGAGTCCGAGTCCTAGCTAGCACAAGACTTACGATAACTTTTACATTTAATAATGTATAATACTAAAACTAAACTCTGTGCTCATTCAAATTTAAAATGCAGCACCTTTAGCTCATATTATTGTTTGATGACGTGTTATGATGAACGCGGACGATACTTCTGTATTCTTCATTATAACCTTCTACTGATAGGCGAAGCTTTTTTTTTGCCTAAATGTTTCATAATCTCATTTATTACTTACTTTTTTGTGCACATTTCTCTAAAACCCAACACAAACACCTAAAAAATATCTTGAAAGAATAAAACAAGCTCAATACATGATACAAGTCATTATATTATTTAAAGAGTTATCCTCTAACTCCTAAAGATCAAGAATCTTTCCATCATCAGCTCAGCAAAATGAGATAACCACTACTAAACGTAAATACCTATATAGCTTGACTAAAACTAAAACATATTGTCGAGGCTGTAAAATTTGAGGGATTCCCTCGATTTCTCTGGGATCCCATCATGAGTTCATGATCATGACCAGCCTTTACTAGTTCTGTCTACTTACAGCCTCTGCTCGACATAGGCCTCTTCTTAAAAAGGGTTATTTTAAGTTTTCCTTCTTGCAGTCCACAACAGGTCCTGCGCAGTTTTTTCCCTTAGTCGGCTCTTACGACACCCACGGGATGAATAGGGGTGGTAACACTATATTCTTAATCCGTCTCCACACATTCATGAACCAGTTAGTAATCTATTCAAATAAATAAAATTGAAGTGTGTTTGTAATGTCAAAATAATAGGTTTTTTTCGTACTGACACGGTATTTTGCACGATACCCTGTCTGTTTGCTCCGCATAATCTTCAAAACGGCTGGACCGATTTTGATACTATTTTACTACCAGGTAGGTATAATGAGTAACTTAGGCTTTTTTCTTCAGAAAAGCCCTATAAAATTTTGCACGATCGGGGAATAGAACCCGAGGCCTACTACAAAACTAAGGTAACGCTTTTCAAATTCCACGTGAACTATGTCGCGGGTACCAGCTAGTGTATAAATAAAAAGATACACATATCAGTGAGAAAATGTATTAAAAACACTAAACTTATACACGGAATGCAGTTTAAGTATCAACGACATAATTTGGATGTACGACTAGTAATGGGTCGTCTTCTACTTCTTGATCCGATGATTTCTGCGTTGCCTTTAACCCGGTGGTCGACAGAGGTATTATTACTTGATCCTGGAAACAGATATTTCATCTTTAAAATTGAGTCGAGATATTATCGTGCACCAGTTGTAAGACACAGCTGTCATTTCAATTTGGTATCTTAAGGCACTCTAATATATTATAACAACGAAATTGGTACGCTTGGAAAGACTCTGCTTTGATGCGCTTACAAATAAAAGATTCGTATTATACCAAATTTTAAACATTATCTTTAAGGTCTAAAATCAAGATTGCTGTGTTAATGACATAAAGATTGAAAGTACTCACGTGATACATAAGCCTGTCAATTACTTTCTCCACAAGTGTTTTCCTCTCAAGCAACTCATCCTCGTTTTCTATCTGTCCTTGTCCTACCAGTTGTTCTAGATACCAGCTCACAACTGCACTCTTGCGCATACCTGAGCTTTCACTTTCACCTAAACAATGATATCAAATATTTAAAATATAGCACATAACACAAAAAAGACTAAACAGTCGTGTTTCCTGTTTTAATATGAAATACCACCTATCAAAAAATTTAAACCCATAATGAAAATGGTATCCTTTTAAATACCTTATACCTATTCATCAGTCAACAATATAATTTAATACATTTCCAATGTAAGAAAGAGTAACTTGTAAAAAAATGTGCATCAATAAACTATTATATTATTGTATCTTAGAACATGTATATTTACCCCTAGTCTCAGATTCAATCTCCTCTTTTCTCATGAAGACAACAAGCATGTCACTCAAAGATTTGTACTCCTCGAATGATAGTGTAAGTTTCTTCTTTGGTGCCGAGTCGCCGTTAGTTGAAGCCTCTGTAAAAAATAAATATAATTAAAGATAGGTAAAATATTAAAAATAGGGAATCATAAAATGTTCCACAGTATATGAAAGAGTTACTATTTCTGGTATTAAATTAATTCCTAGAGTAGAAATTTAATCAACATTTCTCTCTCTAAAGAATCTTTAAGTTAACAAGTATAATATTAGTATGTTTATTTAGAAACATATGTGCCAGGTTGACGACAATAGGTTCGCTACCTATTACGTGGGATTAAATTATAGTCCGAAATATGTGGGCGTATAATATACTTCTAGCTACTCCATAGGGGATGAAAGACGTGTGTGTATGTGATTTTTTAAATTGCACTACTTATTAAGAATTGATATATTACCGGTGCTTCCGTTGGGCAGGTCTTGGTCGACGTCCATACTCGGTTCGTATTGCGGTTCGTCTTCATCCAAGTGGATATCAGGTTGCTCTACTCGTATTATGGATTTGTTCAGCAATCTAAGAAAAGACAATTAGAATAAACATCTATAAACTAAGCGCAATGCAAGTGACATACACATGCTTCTTGTGGGAGAGCCATACTTCAAATGAGCCTATTCACCCGGATTGGTACCACGGCCTTACAGAAAATCGGCGTTTAGTAATTCTTTAGTTGCTTTTCACGAGTGAGTTTGCTGCTTTGAGTGAGGTTCCTGGAGCCCAAACCCTTCATTCGAGGCCACTCAAAGGACGGCAACCTACTTGTGTTATTGGAATTACATGTGTTCATGGGCAGTATTATTTGCCCCCTATACCATAAAAAAGTCCAGAATTATGAGATCATAGTCTCGTTGATGTCGGTCATATGTGTGTGCGTGTGTGTGTTTACGTGTGGAGTATCAGAAATCGGAAGCACCTGTAGGCCTCGTGTACATGTTGCGGGGTGACGTGGCCGCTGCAGTGCATCTTGGCCATGGCCTCGGCGAGGCGCACCATGGACTCGAGCTGGCGCACCGTGATGCGCCACGCGCCGCCGCCCGCCCCGCCGTCGCGCTGTCTCAGCACCGAGTAGTACTCCACCAGCAGCTTGCCCGCCTCCTGGGAACGAATCACTACACGTCTTACCACTTTTTACACTGATAATAAGCATGCAAGCTTCAACTGTGGCTTTTATGACATATAAGCTAACTTATATGTTTACAAAATATCTGTCGATCGATCGCGTGTAGACGATATACAGAAATGCCATTGACACTAATGTTTTCACTGAGAGGAATCAAACCAACATTCCTCCATAGTTGTAAAAACCCCTGTCATGTTTGAAAAAGTCGATAGGTCCGAGAAATACAATTCTACTTACTGCTATCAGAAAAGGAGTGTCTTAAATCCATTTTTGGAGATCATGAACCATGAGAACCATGTAAGATAAATATATATAAAAAACTGTTAATGGCGATTTCTTCAATGCTCAGATCGGTTTAATAGTTATTCTTTATAGAAAACAGCCAAGTTCTTTGCCACTCAACAAATAATCAAAAACTTTTTAACAACAAGTACTAACCTCTGTAATAATAGGTTTGAAAGATCTTGCAAAAGCAATATATCTCAATAAATCTTCCCTGGAATAGACACAATCGTATGTCTCTTCCTTATTACAATGCAAGTCGACTATTTTCCTTGCAATCGCATAATCAACCATCTCGCTACTCTCGTCTATAAGGATGAAGAACAGATCGAATCGGGACATGATGGGAGCACTGAGAGCCACATTCTGTTGCAAGGATTTAGCGCGGTCGTATCGACCACCGACAGGGTTTGCAGCGGCGAGGATTGATGTGCGTGCGTTAAGAGTTGCTCTGACTCCAGCCTAAAAAGATATTAAATATTACTTTTATATTTAAGTATTAAAACAACACAAGCTATAATCATGTGAATAGTTACCTTAGCTAGTGATATGGTCTGCTGCTCCATAGCCTCGTGAATGGCCACCTGGTCGGCTGGATCCATTTTATCGAACTCGTCTATACAACAAACACCATTGTCTGCTAACATCAGTGCACCTGCTTCGATCACGAAATCGAATGATTCTTCATCCTACAGACAAATTATGTGATTAGCTTCCATAAAGGCAACATTATAACGTTCCTTTAATACTTTTAACCGACTGCGAGAGAAGGAGGGTTCTTTTAGAGTGTATGTTTGTATAAATATTTCTTTGGCATACTCTGTAGTAGTAGACGACTTGATGGATTTTGGCTTAGGTTGTTTTTTTTTCATGAAATTCAGTAACATATAGTTTACCTTTACGACTGCGGCAGTAAGACCGGCGGCGGAGGATGCTTTGCCACTCGTGTAGACGGCGCGAGGCGTTATCTCACTCACTTGCTTTAACAACTGTGATTTGGCAGTACTGGGGTCACCTACTATGCATACGTTTATGTCACCTCGGAGAGTTGTACCTTCAATGGTAGTTTTAGCGACACCCCCAAACAACATGAGCAGTATGCCTCTCTTCACTTCGTTGTTGCCATGTATGCTTGGGAATAGACTAGTGATGAGATTGTTGTACAAGTTGCGATCACGAGACATCTCATACACCTGCAAAGGAATAATTTTAGTTATGTCTTTACGTCTTTGCAACTAACTGACCCCAGGAAAAAATCTTTTAAAAAAGCATAATTTTTTTTATTCATCCTCAGCTACGATTGGTGGTACCGTGATCTTATATCGCGTATAGCCTTCCTAAATAAATGGGCTATCCAACAACTAAAAGTATTTTTCAGTATCTGGTTCATATTGAAAAATACCTTTAGTTGTTCCTCAGATTTGCACGTTGAACCAAGCTAATTCTTCAGTTTTATAATATAGATTTCTATTGATTGCAATTGAATGAAGCCTGTGATTCCAGGTAGTTCTGTTGTCTTTCTTTATTAATATTTTATTGTAGATAAAGAAACTTGGATTCATCACAATAAACATGTATTAAAGTGATACCTTATCCCATTCTTTGTCCGTCATTTGTTTCCTCATGTCCTCAGTAGTAAGGTCATCAGTTGCCAGTTCTGCTGTGCCAAATCTTCTTGATATAGCTTGCACACTGCATGCTAAGAATGCCGTTCTGTGGGCAAGTAATTTATATTGTCATTTATACCATGTGAATACTAAATGTATATCAACTAAGTTACTAAGATTTATTTCTCTAAATTAAAGATCCCCGCACCTAGGCTTTGCTTTCCTTTAACATTGTAATCTAGCTATAATCTTTGTATCTGTTGTTTTTGTTTGTTGTTTGACTTGAGTAAGAAGTGTGCGTTACCCCAGCAAAATAATGTCGAAAATGGTCATTTAAACTTTATAGATAATTAGTTGCTCCCCTTCTGTAATTGTTAAGCACATTTTTAAATTTGTTTCACTTAAACTTTTTTAGTTATTTCAAAAAAACATTTCCTGCTGGAGTAACGTTTGAAACGTTACCGCAGCCAGACATTTTCTTTTTTAATTGTAATATTGAAATAAATTTTAGCTAAATATTTAGTTATCTGGACTAGGTAAATGTTACAACTTATTTGGTATTTGTATTTTCTTCGGTTGCGAAGTTATTCGAAATCCTGCTGGAGTAACGTTTGTGGGTTTGCTGGATCTCTGAAACGGGTAAGCGGATTGTAACCATCTTTTGTACATAACTTCTTAAGGATTAGTTTTAATTTGTTCGATAATAAAATAACAAAAATAATGGACCGTTTAAAAATTATTTAGGTAAGTATGAAAACACTTCAATACGTCCTAACACTTTAAATAAGACCTCTAAAGACTTACTTGAAACGTTATTCTATTGCTTGTTACTACCTTCAAATGTATACGAATTTTCGTAAGAATACTGTAAGTGACTAAAAAGTTATGATGAAATGTAGCTCTCCACGTTCACGATCACAATGTGTGCGGCCTTTTTTGGCCACCGATAAACCTGTGTGTGGATATATAAACTGAATGTTATGCCAATAATTAGTTATTTAGTTCAGTTGTCTACCTGTAGAATTTCAGCGTCGTACATATAATAATTTACGAGATAATTAAATAAAAGTCATTAGAAGGTGCAAGTCCGTGGTAACCCGACCATGTTTAGGTGGTTACAAAAAAGCGATCACCCAGTACATTGTGCTGGCTTTTAAAATATGTAGGATATTATTTGCAAGTTTTCTACGGATATGTACATAAGTGTTACAAAAAACTACATGTTTTTTAAATAATTTTTATTTAGGATTGTTTATTGCATAATTAGTAATCAGCCGGGAGATTAGGTATTGTTTTGAATGCTTTTGTTTTCTCGTAATGTTTAGGTGAATTGTTTATAGTTGTTCATAGAATTGGTACCTGCGTAGTATTTGTTAATTGAAGTTTAATTTTAGGGTAGGTATAGGTAATTTAAGAAATATGAAATGAAATGATAAGTTTTGAAGAGTGTAACGTATGCGTTGTAAATAGGTATTTTGTGAATAGATGGGGATTTTTTTAAGTGATGAATCGACTTAGGCTAGCATATCGCGAACAAACTCTGTATTGCATTATTTCTGTAATATTGTTGGAGAAAATAAAATATTTGATCACAAAATCGCGGTGAGTTAAATTATAATAAAATAAATTATTTATGTAAAATTAGTAATAAGTGATATACCTACCTAAAAGTTATGATCGTTTTTAATTTGTTCACCCTGAACGAAATTTCAATATTAGCATTAGTAATTAATATCCTAAGACAAGAATTGACAATTACTTAAATTGAATCGAATTAGCATTAATGCCTATTATTAGTAATTAGGTACACACATATTGAAGAACTCTCAAGAATACGATAAATATTTGCAAAAATAGAAAGCGGAAGCGCACACGTACTTTACAACACGTATATTATCTGCCTAAGGGTCAAGTTTAGTGCACTAGATGCAAATTGCAAACAATGAAGTATCCCTTCGCCCCTCCCCTCCCGCGTTCTAGCGAAGGATGTATTATCAGCGATTCTTGATTGACAAATATTATCTGACCAATAATTTTATCTATAAAAATGTATCACTTTCACTCGATAAATTAAATTACCGTTATTATATCAAAATATCATTCAACAACTGTTCGTTTTTAACAGAAATCAACAGTAACGGGCTCAACGCTTAACGGTAGGTACATAGGTATAGATAATTCTCGGTTCTAGGTATAGACCACAGAACAATATTACCTACTCTTACGAGGTATACGACTGTTGGGCGATGCAATGTTGATGCATTCTAATTTACAACTGTATTCTTCTACTATTCGGTCTATTTTAACTTATTGTAGATGACTTGTTTCTTTAAATATTTTGATGCATTCAAGTCTAAGCTCTATACACCCCAAAATAAAATACAATTACTTTATTTCTTTACAAAAAGAAATCAAAGAATGAAACGATTTCTTATTGGTTTAAATTTTCGTTTTATTGCAGTCAGGTGAATCGTTCATACATGTATCTACATATTTATAATTTTAGCGGACCAGTGCAGATTTTCTGTTGATTGTAGCTCCGGTAGTAAAAAAGACTAAATAAATTTTAAGTAAAGAAACTAGTGCTTAAGATCAATTAGGGGAAAAAACAAAATAAATAATAGGTAATAATAATGAATAAATATTGAATGTGTTTAACACTGTACGCAACTGTACCGAAATCGTAAGGTGTATTACACTAAACATTTTAAAAGACAGCGCAATGTACTGGGTGATCGCTTTTTTGTAACCACCTAAACATGGTCGGATTACCACGGACTTGCACCTTCTAATGACTTTTATTTAATTATCTCCTAAATTATTATATGTACGACGCTGAAATTCTACAGGTAGACAACTGAACTAAACAACTAATTATTGGCATAACATTCAGTTTATATATCCACACACAGGTTTATAGGTGGCCAAAAAAGGCCGCACACATTGTGATCGTGAACGTGGAGAGCTACATTTCATCATAACTTTTTAGTCACTTACAGTATTCCTACGAAAATTCGTATACATTTGAAGGTAGTTACAAGCAATAGAATAACGTTTCAAGTAAGTCTTTAGAGGTCTTATTTAAAGTGTTAGGACGTATTGAAGTGTTTTCATACTTACCTAAATAATTTTTAAACGGTCCATTATTTTTGTTATTTTATTGTCGAACAAATTAAAACTAATCCTTAAGAAGTTATGTACAAAAGATGGTTACAATCCGCTAACCCGTTTCAGAGATCCAGCAAACCCACAAACGTTACTCCAGCAGGATTTCGAATAACTTCGCAGCCAAAGAAAATACAAATACCAAATAAGTTGTAACATTTACCTAGTCCAGATAACTAATTATTTAGCTAAAATTTATTTCAATATTACAATTAAAAAAGAAAATGTCTGGCTGCGGTAACGTTTCAAACGTTACCCCAGCAGGAAATGTTTTTTTGAAATAACTAAAAAAGTTTAAGTGAAACAAATTTAAAAATGTGCTTAACAATTACAGAAGGGGAGCAACTAATTATCTATAACGTTTAAATGACCATTTTCGACATTATTTTGCTGGGGTAACGCACACGAGTAAGAAAGTTATTTATTAAGCCTTTATTGCCAATTAATTATACATATTCATTATTAAATAGTTAAGTATTTAACATGCAATTAAATATATTAACATTATGATTATTATATTATCTCTTATTATCATTTTATTAAATATTGTTCCATCATTTGTTGAATTTATCTCAATTGGTATTATATAATAGATATGCCACAGTTATTAGGGGTCAGTGTGTCCTTGTAAAATAAAGGCCTTTTTAAATTCTGCTTTTATTTGAGTTATTTTGGTTTTTCTTTTGGTATTTCTGATTATTTTCTGGCTGAAGGGTAGCAATCTTCTTTCCCCAGGGTGACAAACAGGCTTGGGGTGCATTTTTCAGTAGGTGTATATGTAGTTTTGGTATTTGATAATGTGGCTTGGGTCTGGGTGCCAGTGTTCATTATAGTTTTTTTGGAATTGAAATTATTACAACTTACTTGTAATGGAGCTCCCTAACCCCAAGAGCTTTCAACCCCTTGATACCCTCCATTTGTCCTTCATTACCCTGTCTTGTCCTAGTTGTGAGTTCTGCTTTAGCGCCTGGCAATGATAAAGAGCCTACATCAGGAACAACAATCAGTGTTCCAGTGAAGTCATAGCGGTCACCAGCCTTAAATAGAAATTTTTAGAGTTAAGTGTTAACTTTCCTCAATCAATGAATGATGTTCAAAATTGTTATAAAATATACTATTGCCTATTTCTGTGAAACACAAAACAAGATATTTTAGTGAAATAGCATACGATATATATTATTATGCTATTTCACTAAAATATTACTTGCATTACTATGTATTAGATACCTGTACTGATTCTACAGCTTCAGCTCTTAGAATAACTTCAAGTGATCTTGGAATACAGCCTCGTGGCAGTTCTGCCTGTGTTTCCTGTATTCGAATCTTCTGGAAGTCCACAAACACTGACTTGTCTGCATCAAGCATGAATCGGCGACGATTAGCACAAACCGGGTTACGGCAAATAGCAGGAATTGTATACTGAAATTGGAGAATATATATAAAGGTGTATTTTACCTTTATCCTTAAAACTAATACACATAATGCATTATCGGTATGTGTTAATACAGAGTCTAAGTAATCAAAACAAATAAATAAAATTGAAGTGTCTTTTTGTAATGTCAAAATAATAGATTTTTTTATGCTTACATGGTTATTTGCCTATACCTATGCCTAAACCTGGTAATCCTACCTATGCCTGGTAATCTTCAATATGGCTGGACCAATTTTGATAACATTTTGCTGCCAGGTAACTGTCTATACAAGGAGTAACTTAGGCTATTAGTTTTGCCCGGTCTGGGAATCGAACCCACTAAGGCATTGGTTTTCAAATTCCATGCGAACAGTCATGAGCACCAGCTAGTCTCTAATATGCATGAAAAATATATAGTGGAAATGAATAATAGCTTACTTTAAACTGCTGCTCCACATTTTTAATAACAGTCTGACAATCCAAACAGACAAAAGTGCCCAAAACCAGTTCAGGGTGCACAGGATGGGTTCGTACTATTTGCCCAGAGATTCTAATCAGTGTTCCAATCTTAGCTGTAGTCAATTCACGTACTTTGTGCCTAGTTGGCACATCTACAAATGAAACATAACACTCCTTGTCTTGCAAATCCTTCTTCATACCACTGTCAGCAAGACTTAGAACATAGTTCAAGATTGCTTGGTTCAGAAATGGATTAATTCTATAATATTCTTCAATAATTGTGGTGGCTAGATTTTGATTATACTTCTCAACATCATCAAAACTGACCTCCAGTGTGCTTAACTCAGGTTTAAGAAGTTCTTTAGCATTTTTCTCATACTTTATCTCATTGTCTTCTTTAAATCTGTTTACAATTATTTTAGTGTTAGTATCACAAAGTCAAATGTGCAATCATTATGTTTAGACCACAGACCCAAAGTGGTCTATATAAACCACTTGGGATCGACATAAAGACAAACTGATTTTGGGGGTCGAGAGGGTCTAAAAATCGACCCCTATTAATTAACACAAGATCTTATTTGCATTGAAATTTTCAAGATACTGTATTAGTTGTGTTACATATACCAACTTGTTTTAAGAATGACTAATATTTTAGTGGGAAGTATCAGTCAAAAGTACAATTTAAAAAACTCAACAAGTCCATAAGGGTGCAGTAATTTGACTATGGTGGTCTGAGGTATCAGTTCATTTTAGAAGAAAGGTCTCTTACCCAAAATAGTTTAGGAATCTCTGGTTAAGGATTAAACAGGACTTTATATATATAATATTAATTAAAGAATGTTAGTAGAAATACTTACTCCTCTAGAAAATCTTGAAACAACTTCTGACATCGTACTCCAACCTCATCTTTCACTTGACTTTGGGTGGCATATGTATCAGCTACATCCATTTTATAAACCTTTATGTGAACTAAATCTACACGATAACTGTCTTTTATCTTAAAAATTAACTCCAATAACAACACGTATGTATATAATGTATAGTCGAAACATAACATAAAAAGCGTTAATTTCATATACACCGTAATAGTCAGTCTTTCGTTGGTAATGAACTTTTGTAAATGTTGTGTAAGGAACTAAGTAAATATAAGATTCCCTCCTACTTAGATGTATACGTACTAATCAACTATTTCGTTTAATTACAGTAAAATCAGTAAATTGCGCGAAACGTGAACTCCGCGCATAGCATTTGCTTCAATTTTGACAAGTAACTTTTTTCGGTGTTTTGGCGGGAGATATTTAATGGATTCGTTCGGTAACCCTTTTTTTTATAGGAGTATGTTCTCATTGCATTTAATACGATATCGAGTACAGAGCCCAAACAATACCTATAAAACCTCCTGCAGTTTAGAAAAAACACTTGTATGAATGAACGATATGAAAATTTAAATCTCTGTATAACCAAAACTTATTAAATAGTTTACTAAATAACTGGCGGCCCAACCCTCCCTATTGTGGGGTCGGGCACTTATCGGCGGCTAGCCGAACTAAAAAGTAGAAAATTAAAATAAAAAAAAAACACTTTTAGCAAGGCTAGTTACAAAAGCGTGTCTTTTTTTTATTAAGCAGCAACACTTGATGAGTTCATGTCGCAACAAGTCCCGGATAAATTTAAAACTTCTTTATTGACCGAAATCGTAAAGTTTTTTTACATATTATTTGCAATGTTAAATTAGTTTGCTACAGAATGTTAATCTGTGTTTTAAAGTAATAAATAGTGCCTGTTCTATGGATGCAATTGATGTTCCGCTTTGCTTATCACAATATTTTGTAAATAAACAAAATGTGAGGTCTTATGGAAATATAATGAAATGGAATACTTTAAAAAAGTCAAGTACAGAAGAGTTTTGTAAACTTTTACTCAATGAAGAATATTTGGTGCGTAATCTATCCTCGCAATTTTTACAACTAATGTTGTCATTGAAGTCGAATTTGGTGAACAAATGTAAAAATGATTTCAAGGAATACTTTAATTCAAAGAAAACTCCAGTCTTCCAACCCGTAAACAAGGAATATATTTTTGATACTTGTTGGAAATTACTATGCGATATAATTCCTAGAAACTTTTTTGGCTGCACACAGAATAGTGTAATATTTAGAAAATTTGTTCAGACAATTATATTTTCTATGAAGAGGCAACATTACTTGATTGGAAAATTTACTGAAAAATGGAATCTCTCAATAGAAATTTGGAAAAACATTAGTGACTCTAAAAAGGTTTTGCAGCTTATTCTTTTATGGATAATTAAATATGTACTGGCAACGGTAATATGTTTGAATTTTTATGTTACAACCAGCAAGCTAGACACAAATGAAAACAAACTTTATTACTTTTGGAAACACCAATGGCAGAGTTTTTATGATAAACAAATTTCTAAAATGATTTACACCAATGTTATAAAGAAATCTGAACATTATTCAAAAGGAAAGAAATCAAGAAGAAATTACAGTCTTGCCAATAGATTTCAATTAAAAATGTTCAAGAAGAAAATTCCTAAATTACATATAACATTAAAAACAAATAATGAAAGCAGGCCCATAGTTTGTTACAAAAATAATCTATTAAGCACCTCAGAAAAATATAAAATAAGGGACAGGTTGAGGTTTTTAAAATCCTTGACTGGTAAACCTAATACAAAAATTGAGAGCCTCTACAATAATTTATATTTGAAATGGATAAATGCAAATAAACCAAAGTTGTATTTTGTAAAAACTGATCTTAGTAATGCTTTTGGGTCAATAAATAGAGAAAAACTGGCAAAATTTTTATCAGAAAAATATATTAATTTCTTAAAAGCTGAGATGTGTATTACGATGAAGAAAAAAATAGCTCAGCAGTACAAAGACATTGTTCAAGAGTTACGTAAACCAATTCTCATCCGTGCAGGGTCAACAGTGTATGAATGGAAGGAAGGCCTAGTACAAGGATATAAATATTCACCAGCACTCTCTGAACTTTATTATTCATATTTGGATGCGATATACTTTTCAGATCACATGGAAATCAAAGAAAATGATATAAAATTATTTACAAGAGTTGTTGATGATTATTTATATATTACAGATTCATTGGAGAATGCAATGTCGTTTATAGCCGCATTGACAAACTACAGAAATGTTAATTATGACAAGACTGTGGTTAATTTCTCTCATGATACTATAAAGTATAATGAAGAGATAATATTCTTGGGATATTGTTACAATACATGTACTATGCAAGTTAGCAGAGCAAATAATATATATGCAGGACAAATGTGCTATAAAATAGCTTTTACAGTGGGATTGTCAGATTTACCCAGGTTTATTGAAAGCCGTATTGGCCAGTCAAGCATACCAATAAACAGCCACATTTTTAATTTACAGTATAATAATGAAGAGCTTATTTGGAGGCATATATTTACTACCTTTTGTCTATCAGCAAATAAACTTTGCACTATTTTGGCTATACTATGTGAAGAGAGGGAAATGGAAGTACTTTTGATACCCTACAAAAAGAAGGTTACTGTAAAATTGACTAACACTATACTTGAAACACTAACAAGGAATAAACCAGAAGATCTGATATTTATATACTGCATTAATCATTTTAGATACTTGGCATGGCTTGCTTTGTCTTTGTGTGCAAAGAGAACTCCAAAATGTAGTGGACTTGTTCCACTTATAAACAATCAATTGGCCAAAAATAATTGCATATTTGGAAAATGGAGGGAACATGCAAGCAGAATAAGTAAAACTGGCGAATGTCTCAGAAAAGCAACAAAAGAAGTATGTAGAAGAAACGATTTGCGTGTGACATTTAGAGATTTTGAGACACTACCATTAGGATTTGAATGTTATCATCATAGAAAATTAAAATAATGTAATCTAAATTACTAGTATGCTACTAACTACTTATCTATAACATAACCAGGACAAATAGGTGTAGTATTAAGAAAAAAACAAAATTTTCGAAATGTATATATTTTTATTAAAATTGTATCAATGTTGTATGATGCACGAAATATAATCAAAGTAATATATTTTATACATTTATTTTAAATAAAATACTTTTGGACGGAGAGTAAAAGCTGTCAATCACTAGCTACAATATAATAAAAAGTTTACTTATACTACGCTCCTAAACCTAAAAAGATTCAATTCATAAAGTAAAATAATCTTAATAATTATATTAAGGCATAAGTTTGGACGGATTGCGATTTCATTTTTAAATGCTCACACTATTCTCTCATATAAACTAACAGTACTAAAAATGTACTATACCTCTATACTAAATGTATTTCAGATCTATTTAATTGAGTTTTATTTTAATATACGAAAAACACTGTAAAATGATGTTCACTATTTGTTGTAAAGTAATAGATATGTATTGTATTATTATAAATATCTATGCACATTAATGAGTGTAGACATAACAGTTTATTTACCCTAAAACTCCTTTTTAGTCTATATTGCTCAGATATACAGTAACATACTATCATATGGATCATTTACAGTTACTTTAATTATATTATTATAAATGTAATTATTTGTATGAAAAAAAAAAACTAGTAAAGTCATCCACTTAAGCAGTCTATTTTAATTGCATCAGCTGTTTGTTATTTACAACATGCTGACTAAAAAAAAGCCAAAACAGAAGATTCTTAAAAAAAACTAAGAGTCACTTAATATCAAGAAAGTAGAACCTAGTCTTCATCTTTTCTTATCTTAATAAAGCTGCTAAGAATATTCCTAATACTAGTACTTTCCCTATGACACCATTTCTATACGCATGGGACAAAAAGTCTGGGTCAGACGCTACGTAATAAGAGGCTTGTGGCGCATCGCAAGATACGATCCGAGCGGCGCGTATTAGCGCGGGGCCAGCGATGATGTCAGCTGATCGCTTGCTGTGAGGTATAGGTTTGAGGCGCACCGCAACGTCACTGAATATCAAGTCGGAGTATGGAGGCTGTGAGTAAAACATGCTGAAGCTGGAACAAAAGCAAATGTAAATCAGTCGTGTTTCATATTAAAATAGCTGTTGTTATTTTTGTTTCTCTATTATAATTTTAAAATATGGTGCAATTTTCTTTTAGCATAACGGTTTTGTCCTTATAGAGTATAATTTCAAGATATTTATTAGGCCATTACTGTGTCATGTTAACTGGTCAATACAGTATAATTTTTGAATAGATATGAATGTTTCGAATTTATATTTATTAGTGACTTACTGAATGAAGGGTGTCGTGAACTGAAAAATTGAAGGGAACAAGTAGGTATTGTGTGATACGATTTAAAATGAGTACCTGAATTCATCAGCAGTGACAGCTCCGTAGAACTGCTGCGCATATATCATGAGGTTCGAGTAAGTATCCAGTTCAGTATGGTTTGGCCTTCCCATCATCACAGTGCCAGGAACTTTGCCGAGGTTGCAGTGTTTGTATTCGTGCATCTTTGCGCGGGTACCTGAGCATACAATGGTCAAATTAAGTTTTTATACATATAACTATAGTCCATTCGCGTTAAGAAATTAGTGACTCATCGATCTAGTCTCGCCTCCTGACCGATCAGGTTTTAAGAAATTATCGTTTTGTACGAAAGTTTGATCGGTCACAGTGCAGGGCGTGATCTATGCGTCACTATTTTGTAGACGCGCAAGAACTGTAGATTTAGAATATTTACGTTTAATGTATAGTATCAAAGATGGTTAGCGTAGAGGAAATTTATGTTTTTTTTTCGGTTCCGTTAATTACACAATTACTTGAGTTGCACTGTGTGAGATTTTGTTGCCCGAGTCTTTCGAGTAGAAAGTGTGAACGCTAGGAGAGTGGATAGAGGTATTAAGGGCCCCTCCTCACAGCGATATTTCACAGTGAGGTTTTTATAATAGGAAAAAAATCGACACCGTATCGCGTTCACTTTGCATCAAATCACGTTTTTTTTACGTGATTTTTTTCCGCTAGTGCGGATATAGATCTCATGCGTGAGTGAACGTCGTGGTCACCGTCGGGGCACAGCAGCTGCAGGTCGTCGGGCAGCAGGTCCCGCGCCCACCACTCGCGGCGGCGGCCGGCCGACACCTCTGCGGGCGCCGTGTGTCGCACGAAGGCCACGTCGCCGCCGCCCTCCACCATGCAGCGCAGCGCGCCCACGTGCCCGAAGTACGCCTCGCTCGCGTCGCGCCGGCAGCGCCTGCACCGACACACCCGCTCTCGATTATCGCAACACTTCTCTTGTTTGATGCTACTTTTATAGAGCGTTGTAAAAGGATTGTGACGATTCAATACATCACTTTCAATGCGAAACCGAAACATAAATAGAGACAATTGGTAATTCACATTTTATTTTATATTTTAAGAGTGCATAAAATAATATATTTTAATTATATTACTATTTTCTAAAATTAATATAGGTTTACCGTTAAAGTCCCAAGTGAAACAAATTAAGGCAATTCGAAAAACAATAATCTCATTATGTCTACTCTACGGGACGGTCCTTTCTTCGACCTATTCTAAGAAAACGACAAACGATGTTAATAAATCCCGTAAATAGTTATGCGTAAATATTTAAAAAAATTAGTTGTGTAATTACAAACTATAAAACAATACATACCTGAAGGAAGCACCGTGACAAAGGTGACACAGATTGTCGTGTGGAACAGTGCCAGAGTCTACGTACTCTGTACTGAGAGCCCCCGGCGTACATGACTTGGTGAAGTACTCAGCCGCGGCATGAGCTCCATCACAACCATACGGTCTGTATTATAAATTACTTTATGAACAGTATGCTTAGACAGATAAGTAGGTATCTATAACTATTTTTTTAAATATTAATTAACAATCCGTGTGGTGACCGATTAAGAGTTCAGTGTCACCATCCTTATTCATACCGTAGGTGTGGTAAGAGTCTACTAAAAGAGCAAACTACGCAGGACAACAGCACTGCAAAGAGAAGGCAAACTTGAAACAAACCCTCCTGGTCAGTGTTGTAGAGTAGATCAAACTTCCTTAAGAAGAGGCCTATGTCCATAAGTGAACTAATAAAGGCTTGATGATAGATGAACTTTCCAAATGTGTATTAACCTGATCCACCCGTTAGATATGAGGTATGCGAGTGGGTAGACCCAACCGGCGGCCATGCCTAGTCCGGTGTGACACGTGTTCTTGCCGCGGAGGTACGTCAAGTCAGTGTCTGGGTCTTGTTCCTTGGCGACTGCTACCGCGTAGTACCAGTCGTTGCCGCTGCTGTATACCTGTAGTGTTTAATGTTATAAAGTGAGAGATAATTACGAAGTATTCGTTTGTGTTTTAGAGTGATAAATAAAGTTCAAGTTCTGAAATCGTTTCTTACACAGTTATTTAACGAGTGAATTTTATACCGACATGCTTATAGGCGCAAAATTGGATGTTTTTGATTAATACTAAAAAAAACTAATTCCTATTTTAACTACTTTTACTGTGATTCTTGACCCACAAAAAAGGCTGCAAAAGGTTAAACTGTAATTAAAGGGTTTATTATTTTCTGGAGTGTTTGGATATTTAACATTTTCTTTTTATTTTACAAAGTAGTTTCGGTAAAAACGTTGTTCGAGTACAGTGCGAATTCATGAAATATAAAAAGAGAGCGATTATAATAGTTTCCTAATCTAACCTAACATCTAGTACCGCATGCGCTCATCGGTCAAACGAGGGAGTAATATATATAAGTGGGCACCTCCTGCATGAAGGGCACGAGGCGGTGCTGCGCGGCGGCGTGCAGCATGTCGGCGGCGTCCAGCAGCGCGAAGTCGGCCGCGCCCTCCGCCACGGCGCGCTCGCAGTGCCGCGTGCTGTGGCCGCGCCAGCACGCCAGCCGCGGGGCCAGCGCCGCCGCCGACAGCGCCGTCTGACCACACACGAGATCGTGTAACCGGGGGCAACATATATAAATGTACAAGAGAGACAATTAAGAAACGGAAATTGTTCTCGAACTCGAACTCTCTTTATTTCATAAAAATTGTTTGAAATCGTCTTTTATGTAGACTCTAAAGTCATAGATCGACACACACAAAAGCAAAAATCTCTGTTTTGTCAGATAGTAAGCAAATAAATTTAACAAAAATCAAACCCATACAAAATCTATCATACGCCTGTGCCGATCTACAACCGCCCGTTTCCCCTTGAGCCTTATGAGAACAATGGCAAACAAAGTCATGACCACTCTTTTGCAATTCACAGATAGATACAATGGCACTATTAAATATCCCACAACATTGTTTTGCTGTGTGCCAGTATGTCCGTTATTAAGGACTAAAAGGTAAAAAGACAATGAAGAGAAAACAAGATTGAGAAAAAAGAAACGAATAAAAGAAAAAATGAAGTGAAACATAAAAAAATAGAAAAAGAAATAATAATAATAAACACACTAGCCACATAACATTTATACTTAAGAAACAAATAGCCTGCGCTAATTAATCCCAAGCATTCTTGTCTTCCATGTAATCCAGAATTGAGTAGTGGGCCCTCTGGCACAAGCCACGTTTTATTGCGGATTTAAATTTGTTAATACTTAACTCTTGAATATTATTTAGGATTTTATTATAAAATCGGACACATTGACCTCGAAAAGACTTGTTTATCTTTTGGAGCCTAGAGGCGGGTACTACAAGTTTATTTCTATTTCTGGTATTTATAGAATGTACATCACTTTTTTTCAAAAAGCTTTCTTTGTTTTTATGAACATATATTACATTTTCATAAATATATTGACTTCGACTTGTTCGAGAAAGATACTCATATATATTTTACATCACTGTACATAAATGAGCACCTAAGTAATCAATAAACGAGTTCCAGTCATTTATTTCTAATTAAAATTTGTTTTTAGCGTAAACATTTTAATGTAATATTTATTTATAATTTTAATAAACTTTATATATCCATTATTTTTAAAAATGTACCTGGTTATAACTTTATATTTTTATGAGTTGATGTTTTTGAAATTTCAATTTCCACTCAGACTTCTACTCTTAATTTATACGTACCCTCATTTTACCACATTTTTCCATCTCCTGGTCACTAGTAACGCACAAGGTGGCACGCTTTACAGGACAATCCCTGATTCCATGTACTGCTTTCTCTGCCTGACTGCCTACATATTTATTGTTAAGAATATGTTTAGCTGCTTGTTCCTCTTCTGTTAATATTCTGAAGTTTATCGTGGCATCCTAAAAATCAAACAATTAATTATAATAGGTAAACTGCTAAACCACTAGCAAAAACTATCAACAAGAGCTAAGTTACGGTGTCCAGTATCCCATTACTGCCCATGACCAGTGACCAGATAAACATACTGATGTTTAGCCAAAAAAAATATACCTGCAATAGAAGATCCGTAGTTACGTTGGATTTGAAAAGCTTGAACGCTGGTTCGATAAGTTGCCCACCGGAATCGACACGGGGTTTATATGGTGTCATCGTATTATCTCTAAAAATAAATATTTACTTGATCAGACAGGAACAGATACGAACTCTGAACGGTATATTATATTGTTTAATGGCTGTAATTAATAAAACCATAAATAATGGTACAGGTAGACTTGTCAATCATCCTGATGTTAATAGAACTTTCCTGCATTTAGTTTATTCCAAAATTTTGTTTTGATAAAATGATATTTATTTCTGCAAGTAAATCTTTTGCAGATATTTTCAGTCGGACTTTACAGCTAGAAGGCGCCGGCATTTCTTAAGACTCACTCTCGGAAGAAACGCCAAAACAAACCACATAGATGCCTTTTTTTTTAAGTCCGTGTACGATGTAAAAGAAAAAAAAAACTATGTGAGTGCAGTATGGGTCTAGGTTGGCCTTTTGAAGACCACAGTTTTAACTCGGCTCGTCCATACAAACGCTATACGGGCCCCAGCCATCGTGTAGCCTAACCGATATAGTCAAGATCAGCAATCCGGCACCGACACTACCCCCCGCCAGGACTTGAGTAGGCCGTAGAAACATTCAAAATTGTGGTTTTGGGAAATTTACTAAAATATGAACTAAGTTTACAATTCTACACTACACATTTTTATACTTACACAAAAAAATATACTATACAATTCAATTTCAACGAACAACTTGAAAACAAAGGAATACGAATTTCAACAAAAGTCGTTGGCAACACGAGATTATCTTTATTTCTAGTGTTTATGTTATGAATGTCGCTAAACTTTGTGAATAAATGAATATTTATCTTTAAACTTATCCCTCAGTAACTGAGATTATAAATTGCGCAAATAACTCTCTTTTGCAACACAAAGATACTTTGAATGTCAACTTTGATAACCAATGACCTTTAACGAAATTCAACAATAAAAATATTCGTTGAAGAAAAGAAGTATAATAAAATATGTCAATCGTTTTCTTCTATTCAATCAGATCGCAATATCCAGATATATAATCAGATCCAATAACTAACTTTTTAAATGTAAGTTGATAACTTTTACTAACCTTTTTAAAGTATCAGCGATTTCAATACGCCTTAATTTTTTGTTCAAATTAAAATGAGATCAAACAGAAATTTACTCTTCCAAATAAATACATTTTTCCAAATCATAAAAAAAACAATTGTCTTAAGAACCTCACCTTTTTTTCGAAGTCGGTTAAAAAGTTACACTGTTTATAAGTATAAAAATAGATAAATATACCAACCGGTTCCTGTCATCTTCATTTTCCCTGTTGTAATAATTGAACTTATCTCTGTTGTTATACGAGTCGTACGGGTACCTCGACTGTTCTGTTGTCGAGTATGGGTTGTACGGGCTGCTGTTTTGATACATGTTTGTTATGTTATTGTAGTTCTTGTTTAGAGAGTTGGGTTCACCATACAGTTGGTAGATGGTCTGGAAAAGCTTTTGATATCTGCAAGACGTGGTTTTATAAAATATTTTAAAACAGTAGATGCACTTTATATAAATCGTACAGTTGCGGGTTATTGAAGTTTTGACCTCCACATAACAAGTGCATAAGTGTAGTTATGTGCTGTATGGTAAGTCGGCCCGCCAAATCTATAAAAACTCATCCATTCTTATCAATTTGATGCACGGATGACGTATTATCCTTTTATGATCCACCTCGCGTTTGTGCGATTTTTTAGCTTTCGCTCCTATTTTAACGCAATTTTTCTAAGCAATGTTGAATGCCAACTATTGTAACATTTATAATACAATTACATTACTTTCATTATTATTGTAACTTACATAGACCTTAAAATAAAATCCTTATTGAATTTTTTATTCACTATTGAGATAGATCGACAACTGTAAGAGGATAAACTATCGGCTATTTAACCTTAAGCTACAACGCTTAGGACCGGGGAAACTGCCGTAACAAGTGAGTTTTGATATAAATGGATATAGGAGAATAGGAACTTATCATAACCATGTTATATTGTAGAGGATACTATTGGCAATAGATCTACTAGAGAGTTAGCGCTATATCTCAGTTAATTTAGAAAGAAGCTATTTAACTAAAAGTGTCCAGACACGACTTTTTCCAAAATAATATTTTTTAACATTTCAAACATGGTAACTTAATAACATTCATTATTTAATGGTTTATTATTACAATGGTTTTTGTTTATGATAATCTTTTACCTTTTCCGCTGTTCCACAGAGGCAGCACTGCTGGTGACTATGGCGTCAGCCGGTACACGGCCCCAGTTGCACTCTTCAGACTCAGTCACAGGTCGACGAGTGCCATCTCGGCAGATTAGCTCAAATTGATCCTCTGTCACTCCACCTAAATATTTATCGATAATATATATAACGATAATAATACGAATAAACAGTTAATACTCACTAAAATAACCGGTCAGGTGCGAGTCAAACTCGTGAGCCGAGGGTTCCGTACCTACCCAGATTTTACGTATTTTTGAATTTTCAACGTTTTTTATTTTTTGGCATTAAAATAAAGTTAAAAATTAAGGTAAGTTTTGTTATTTACAACTTTTCGCGAAAATCTAAATTTGCCTCAATCTTTTTATCGTGTTGACTCAGGACCTTGATTTTTTTTACACCTGATAGGGACTTAGTATCTGGTATTAAGTTTAACTTGCTAGGTCCACTCGTTCCTGAGAAAAACAATTTGTGATTCACATAAAGTGTTGTCGCGGTCGTACGAAGCGTATGGCACTCACCAAGTATTGTATGTGATAACAAAGCATGCTGCACTGTAGTATCTCTTACAAATGCGATTTCTCCCGAGTTGTTAGCTATAAGGCACCGCAAAGCTCCTTCATAACCAGCATAAGGGTCAGCTAATGTGCAGCGAATTCCCGAACCACCGGCACATAATCGACATAGTCTAGAAGATTAATCATTTTTTAAATTCTAATTTTACTAAAATGATATATAAAAGGAAAAATTTATGGTCGTATTATTACTTAGAACTTACTTGTCGGAATTATCACCAATAGGATTATACATGTCCTTTAGTGAATTCGGTGCGCAGGATTCGCCAAAATACTCTATTGCAGATTTCACATGATTGTTGCAGTCGGTTATTTTCAGACCACCATTTTGCATTAGCTAAAACAATAATTGAACTGCAATACATTCCAATTAAGAGTGTTGCTAAATAATAGTGTCAATACAACCATAGAAATTATTGAGCACTAAAAAATCAAAAGCTCTTCTTGATATTTTATGGGTCATCAATGAGAGGAGAGAGGAGTGGCGATTGCTCCGTTGACAAGGGGTTGGCTCTTAAATTGAGAGTGAGAGACCACCTAACACTGAGATCAAAGTGTTCTTAAATGTCAGATAAAATTAGCAGGTAAGTACCTACTTAAATACATTTTTATACTTACAACATGTATGGGCATCATCCATCCGGCTAATGCACCAACGCCGGGAAAGCAGGCCTTCACCCCCCGCAGTGTCTGCAGTCCATAGCCAGGTTGCAATTGAGGTAAAGCACCTTTACGCACTATTGCTATGGAGTACTGGTAAGGCTCTCCGCGACCATATAACTGTAAAAAATATATTACAATAAATCATTGTTTCAAAACTGCAGAATCTTTTAACATTATTGCTGGTGAACAAGATACAGTGGAGCCTAAAGTTTCCACTTTGTATCCAAAGTACAGCAAATTTAAGCAAAAACAGTAGATTAAGCACATTATGCACTTTTTTAAATTAAACTATTATTGATCAAATTAAAATCTTTGTATCCATAACCAGATATATAAAATTTTAAGAGATTAAATCTGTTCATCATCTGAGATACCTTTTTCCTTGCTTATATTATATTGTATATAACTTTATTAACGTAATATACACTGTGTGATGAAGGTTATAACGAAAACTGAAACACCAGATAAGACGGTTTAATATACGTCGGTTAAAATAAATAAAAAAAAAAATAGTACGAAAATACAGAACTGCAAACTTAGAAGAAAATAAATACAATAAAACAATTGCCGTATTAGAACACCGTTGATAACATGAGTCGGTGAACTGTACCTACGCGGCAGCGTCGCAATGTCGGCGACATCAAAGCGACGCCGCCGCCGACTTTACATTTTTATTAGCGACCTAAGTACTTATCACTTCACTTGCTTTTTTAAATCTATTTATTAAGAATACGATTTTATTCACGTGTTTATTTTGGGAATGCTCGACTAAGAAAAACTCCTCACTCACTCCTTGAAAAAGTAGGTACTTTTGGTTGTCTCGTAATCTTTGTACCGCCCTTACAAAAATTCGGCAGTCTGTAGGACATACACGATTGACTGCATCCCTGTCCGTAAAGCAAAAGATGCGTTTTGATACAGTTTCCATAAATTAACGTCATGGCAGGATATTCCGCGGCTGTGAAGGTCACTCACGACATTATGGATGTTGATACTGATAACCCAATTAAATTAAAAGACTGAAAAAATGTCCTGTTTCTAAACCACTGAATATTTTTTGTTCATATTTTGCAAATCGTCTAGAAATAAAGTGCAGAACATGCTGTTTCCAGCTTCGGTAAAGGGTACATCACAGTCTGTATATGCATGCAGTAATTAATGCAGGTTCATTTTTGTTTATTCTACCTGTCATCTTGTGTACTTCGTAATAGGCTTGTGTCCACTAATAACAAATTGCTTGGTAGTTTCAAATTTAAAATGAAGAGACATAGATAAGAAAAAATCAATCTATTTCTCATAAAAGTTATAGATTATTAATATAAAAAAAAAAACTCGAACCAAATAATCATTCAGTCACGTGACAACGAACACCAATCAGAAGGGTGTTACCGCACGCCACGCAAAACATCATTGTTGTTGTTGACGTTTTCATACTACAGAGCAGGTTACTCCTTATTGTTTTTCGTTTTTATCATATTTTCTCACCTTAATACAGTTTCAGTTGACACTGGACACAGATGTAAACAGTTTTGTTTCGCAGACTGTGGCGTCATTCAAGACGCCATGACACTATTCAGCGTTTCAAGGGAAATTTAAATTGTTTTTTTTAATACAAAATATGTAATGTAAATATTGCTTTTTCTTTAAAATATAGGTTTTTGGGATAAAATAGATATTAAAGTATATAATTAACCAAGTTTTCAAATTTAGTCAACAAGCCTATTGTCATAATACTCTGTAAATTTTCTACATGTACCTACTGTCAGCTGTGAAGGACCGAAATAAATAAAATAAATAAATTTACAATATAATATATCCCTGTTGATATGGTTGATAAAACATTATACTATTAAAAATTACAAAAAAAAATACCTCTTGAAGAATAGGCACCAGAGAATGGTACCTGCCTGCAATATAAACTTCACCAGCATCAAGACCAAGCAGGGAGGCTTCTCCTCTATCTACCCATACCATACACTCCTCTGTGTCAAAGGCCTGCAAATCAAATTGACAATATGAAAATGAATGCATAGATGTGGAAATGTTTTAAACGGACGACACTTTGTGTGATCCACAATTTGTTGTTTTTTAGTTTGTGTATTCTTTGTGTCAGTTTCATGTATGTTTAAGTCCCCCACGACACAGCATATATTCCTAAAGGGGGAGTTGTCTTTTTTAACAAAAAAAAAATAATTTGTATATATTTTGGGGATACAGTGATGTTAGGTTTGTGTAATAAAACATATTTTTGTCGATTCTTATCATTCATTATAAAAATGCAAGAACTAAGAATCATACTATATAAAGGAGCTGCTATGAGAGAGGTATTTTTTAGCTTTGATTTTTCTAACTAGAAAGTATCAAAAGGCTAACTGGATCTTGAAAACATATTTATTTTTGAAAATTCAAATATTTGATAAGCTTAAATAATGAAGTAAAAAGGAGTTAAGTAATTTTTAAATAGCAAAACGTAAATCAAAAGTATTGATCAAAATACTCATGATGCATACATGTGGCCTTTGTTCAATAATTATCAAAAATACTATATATTTATTTCAAACTTAATGCACTTTTGTACACTTAATACCCAAGGCACTCTCTTCCAGTCAACCTTTGTCATATATCATGAAATGCAAATGTTTAACAGTTAGTTAAACTAGAAATTATATTTTTTACTATCTGGAACAAGTAGATTTGCCTGCACTGTATGATGTAAAGTTGAAAAAAGTATGTTTACCCTTTTGCATTGTAATTCAATGAAATCCTTTCCAAAGAGTCCCTTGTCTTGCATAACAGATCTAGCCAGCTTTTCACATTTCGCCTGTTCCAACAGTGAAGTTGTACACCACGTTATAATGTCTTCGCCTTCCACTTTAGGCACTTTATTTATATCATTTATTGAATTTTTTCTACCGCCATAGATGTCGGCATTTGTGTTAGAAGCAACTAAAAGTAAAACAATATGTGTATGAGTTTGTATAACAAAAGTTTGATTCAATAGTTTTTGTAATAAAACACATTTCTACATGTATCTTATGTGTATTATTTTGTTACAAAGTAACAGCAAACTACATTTCCAAGTTTTAAAACTTACCGATTACTGATGATATTATCAAAAACAGAGGATGATTACCCATTTTGATTGTGTATCCTTGAAATTTGATTTGATATATATCTATGTGATTACAACAATATCATCTTTTTATTCAAAATTATGCTCACAATTCCTAAGACCCCGCCCGCAAACAAACATTTGAGTTGACAATTTCCAGTAGGACAGTACTAACCACAGATAACTACTGACAGTAGTATTCAGATATTGTGGCCCAATAAAGGTGGTACAGATGTCGCTATAAGGCTCTAAAAGCAGGTTTTTGAAAAAAAAAATGGTACACACACAATAACGTTTTATTAATAAAAACGAGTGTGCTTTAGACCACACGACTGAAGTAAAACTTCTTGGCTATGAGAGAAAGAAAATGTGTGCTCGCAGCTCTCTCTCTTGCCCCTACAGAACGTAACTCTTTTTCTTTCTATCTTCACTAACTTATATCTCATTCTCAACTTCTTATTATGAACTTGGCAGAAATGAATGAATGAAATGAAAATGGCAGAAATAGTTGATATTATTTGACGGCCGCAGTTTCTTAAACTAGAATAGATTTTCAACATGTTTTGTCCTGTTCAAAGGACTCAGTATCATATAGTTATATATTTAAAACCAGTAAACAAACTCATCTAATTACAATTACGTATGTAAGAGATATGAGATATGTAAGAGAAGAGATATGATAAATATATAATACAATAGTATTTTAATGATTTTATCATATGTTGCTAACTTATTTAGAGACAATAAAGTCGGCTTAAAATATATATAATGAATAACTAAGTAAGTATAAGTAAATAGTTACGGTTTAATTCTACCAATTGAAATATTGGTAGGGTAACGTGAAAATCTTAAATTTTATGTTTCACGCTTAGATACTGCCGTACTGCCTTCTGTAGAAAAAAACATTATTTATTAAAAGTTCCAATTGGCCGGCGCGCCATTTAGGCCCGAAATCCAATAAAATAAAAAAACTTATGAGTTTAACTGACATTTGACAATTCTGACCACCAATTGATTTTGACATTTTTGAGAGAGGTTTCACAAAAGTAACTTGACAAATTTTCAACTTTTGAAATTTCTTTCGCGCTGTAAGTACTATAATTAAACAACCAACGTTTGTGCACTATCCTAATATATAGTGCGAGTATTTGACGATTATTTTTCTTCATTACACATATGCTAAATTATTTTTCAGGTTATAACTAAATGTTCACAACAAATTTCTAACAAAAGCACGTGTTATTACAAATTGCAATGGTTGTATTCACGTGTGGACATTGTGGGGAATCTGTACAGAAACCTAAGGTGGAGAAACATTATTTGACAAAATGTAGAAACAAGAATCCCAATTTATCTTGCATGGATTGTTTCAAGGATTTCTTGTAAGTGTTATAATAAACAAAAATCATTGTTTACATTTTAGGATTATAAAGTCGGTGTAAATCTATGATGTAGAGAAAATTGTTAAATTACCAACTTGGTAAAGCTTTGTGTTAATGCATTGGTGGAAGTCTGGAGAAGAGAAGTCTGGCTACAGCAAATACAAAATTTACTCATTTGCAATATTTTTAGGTACACGCTGCTATTACCAGAGTATTTAATATACTATTTGGCATTTGCCATCACTATTATCTAAGCAAGCACTAAAACTTTTAAGTTCTTAACTCTATCTCCAACTTCTTATTTATCTCTTTATGTATGATTCTTGTGCTCCAATAAGTCTTCATTCTACAAAAAAATCCTTGATTCTGATTTCTCTCCTGGAATATACATTCACTGGAAATCAGTATGTTTTAACGTCTATTTCATATTTAAGAGAGGGTATTTGATCTCCACATAGGTGGGTAGAGTTACTTAGCGCTAGTCTGTTTCTTGCTCCTTTTGTACAATTAAAAATATCTAAAGTGGTATTTAAACCTGGCTCGATGAGGTCTATGATCCAACAATTACTCCCACACATAAAAAAATCACAGTCTATTATGATATATTAATTATTTGCATCTTTAAAAACTAGTGATGATTTGAAATAGGCTTTTTCAATAACTTAATTACATGAAGTATATAATGTGCATACAGTCAAAACTGTATATGGAAAATAATACCTATATATGGACCAATAATTTTGGAAGTCATGTCCGATAGTTCTCATAAGCAATATACATAAGTAGTCATATTGGATTGTCATATTATTATGTGTGTTTAGATTTTTTTTAAATATGTATTCAGTATGGGTAGGTGATGCTTATGAACATATAAAATAAAATGTTGAATAAAGATATTATAATGTTTATTCTACAAAAACTTGCAGTACCTACAGTAAAGCTTAGACACTGCACTTAGTTTTTATAGTAATCTGTCATTTTGGTCTGTTTGCTTAAGCTGAGTCTCAAATGTGTTTTGCATTTTACATTTTATTCTCATTAAGATTGCTTGATTGTCATCAGCATTAATTTTCAAACAATTGTAGAAATGCAAGGTCAAATGGGAGATGGAGAAAGTGTACAGCTAATAATAAGTTAATACTCAACTCTTCTATATATATAATTGTATATGTAATGTAATTATATATTTTAAACATGTTTATCAAATTAAATGAAATTTTATATTTTCTATAATGCTTTCAATAAAAAATAAAATAATGTGTTAGTATATTGTCACTTACATTTAAAAATACATACATCACAGACGTATTTAACGTTGTAATGTTTTAAGTGCTCTTTTTATTATTGTGAATCGGTTTACATGCAATATAAAGTCTACTGTACACTGAGTTCTAATTTAGGATGTATTTAGGTTTGCATTTTTTACATAATAAATATAATCCTGTCTTGCTGCAATAGTTGATGTGATTAGTAATATTTTCATTACCAAGAGGTTCTTCTAAGAATAATCTTCCTCTGAGCCTTTTCCCAAACTAGGTTGGGGTCGGCTTTAAGTCTACTACAATACAGCTTAACTTCGATTTTTTACTGGAGCAGAGCAACTGCCATCAGACCTCCACAACCCAAGTACTAGGCGATATCGAAGTTCTATAGAAACACTATTGTTGTACTTTTTAGGGCTCCAAATACCTGTAATGATTGCATCAGATGTTTATTTACTGAATTAATCAACACTGTTCAAATACAATAGTATTTCAGAAATTACTCTCATGCCATAAATGTATGTTTGCACTTAGCTCATAATTTAACATAACATTTTAAAAGATAAGCCAAAAATTCTTTTATTTTTATAAACTTAAATCTATAGTATGATGTACTGTGAATGCCTGTAATTGGTCTACATATAAGAACTATCCTTTGTATTTAAATAGTATAAAAATTCATTATTATTGTTTCCAGGGGGCAAGACTATGAAGCCCATAATAAGTGTGTAACAGAAGAGGAGCGCTACTCTGCCAAAGGATTTGTATCCAAAGAGAAAAAGGGTGAAAAGAAACAAAACACTTGGGTTGAAATGGTACAATCTGTGCTTGATGAACAGAAAGGTGCTCCTGCTAATGTTTTAAGAATAATTGAAGCTGTCAGTAAACATACCAACACTCCCCGAAAAAAGCCAAAATTCATCAATTTTGTCAAAAATGTTTGTGGACACAAAACAAATCCAAAAGATATTGATCAGGCTTGGGACTTAATATCTGTAAAACTATCTGAATTATCAAATGCTAACAATAGGAACCAAAATCAGAAGAAAGAGGCTCTTCATGAGTTTAAAGAGAATGATGACCACACTGTTAAGGAACCCGAAGTAGAACAAGAAGATAGTTCACAAAACAGTACAGAACTACCAAATGATGAAAATGAAGATAGTTCCCAAAAGACAGATGAAAAAAAATTAAGTAAAAAGCAACGAAAGGAAGAAAAGAAGCGCAGAAAATATGAATCAGAATTACAAAGTGCGGAAGCACCACCTCCAGAAGAAGCAGAAGTAGAAGTAGAATCTAAGAAAGGGAAAAAGAAAAAGAATAAGTCTGAATCTGTTGATGATGATGATAGTCCAACAGATTCTAAAAATGGTAAAAACAAGAAACGTAAGAGACAAGATACTGTCAATAGTAATTGTAATGCACAGAATGAACCCGCTGAAAATGATACAGATCTTGTTGAAAACGTAGCTCCTGTAAAGGAAAAAGCACAAAAAAAGAAACAGAGGACAAAGGCTGAAGAAGCAGAAGAAAGTCTATGTCTTCATGATCAAAATGTTGCCAAAATTGGTGAATTAGCAGTTAGTGGGGATACATTTAATTGGCATGCTGTTATATTATCTGTTTTGCAAAAGAAAGGCAATGAGGTGCCATTTAAAAGACTACAGAAGAAGGTGCTAGGTGAATACACTGAGGCTACTGGTTTTGATGTGGATGACAGAATTGCTGATAAGTTTATAAAGAAATTAAAGAGTGCCCCAAATGTGAGAGTAGACAAGAATAGAGTCTTGCTCCTTGATTAAAAGTTATAATGTAAATATTGCCATAGTTGAAATACAAGTAAGTCAGTTAAGTATTGCTTGAATGAGATGACCATTGATTCTGTTTGTGAAATTAAAGATAGTTGAAATTACTGATACTGTAATAAACATTGAATCTTATGATTTGTTTAATTTTGAACCTTTCATACCTGTTAATCTTGTAACAACATAGAAGATGTTGATATTGTTTGAGTCAATCAATCATTTTAAAGCAGACAGGATCGTATTGAGACATAATTTACTAGGCATGATACGGTAATCACGGGTTTCTTCTGTCCCACATAATGTAGGATCAATAAAAAAAGAATCAACATTTAGTAGCCACTAACATCCCTAATTGAAAAATTATTGTATCTTACCTGATGTTGGAAAGTTTGGATTGAAAGTCTAAGGCCCATTAAAGTGTACGCCATTTACATTGGATCACAGACCGAGCATCCTAGCCAAAACTAAATAATGAAAAATATTTTAAAGTATATGTAAAAATTATGCGATGCTCTGCATTCTGCAAACCAGCACATCGCACAACAAGAGAGGGGTGAGTGGGGCTGCCAACTTATAAGTTTAAGTGTTATTACCAACTGTAGACTAAATATATACATACATTTGTACTTACATAAAATAATAAAATACTCTACACCCTTTGTATATGATTTTGATTTATTATATTTCCGACTCGTCCAATTTTCTGCTGATTAATTTCGTTGCGGTTCCAAGACAGTTAAAATTTTGTCTGGGACTTCCCGAGTGTCACAGAGTTACAGTGGTGTGTGAGAGGGATTACTCCCGGTTACACCCAGGCCCCTCTTTCCCACTGGGCACTCTGGGCACGTGCCCAGGGCCCCTCGATCGATACGAGCCCGATTCCTGCCAGATCACCTATCGAAAATCAATATTTATCACCGAAAAACAAAGTTATTTCGAAAAATCCATTTGTAATGACTGACTACAATACTTTTTTGTCCATTCTAACAAAATAGTGCTCAGCTAAGTTCGTAGGGACCCCATTATACTAATTTGCTCAGGGCTTTCAATAGATTAGAGACGGGCCTGGTTACACCTTGTCAATTATCGAATCGATAACGAGGACGAACGATAACCTAAACAGCATCCTTAAATTATCAGTGCATGACGTCTAAAAAGACACTGTCAGCCCACAACGTAATCCTATAAGGGTTCGGTTTTATATCCTTCTGAGGTACGGAACCCTAAAAATGTAATTGCTTACGAGCTGAGATAGGTTTATAAGCACTCAATGACTAGTTTTGATATTGTTGCTAAATATTGATACCAACCACTATTTTACTGTTCTTAAAGTGAAGAGAAGTAATGTATTGCAACTATGCAGCTAATTATTATAAGAAGGCCAATAGTCGTAATAAAAGTTCGGTCAAAATCAGTTCCGATCAACATTATATACTATATTTTCGTAGATCGGACCTGAAAGAAACTCAATTGTGACTAGAGATGAGCAATAAACCGGGTTCAAACCAATTTATTCCAGGGTTTTTATTTCGGTTTTTATTGATTTTACTGTTATTCTCGCTACTCTTTTCTACTCTCATATCCATTTATTAAATTTTTATTACCTGAAACTATATAGCGGACGTATTACAAGACAAAATAACGTTTCTGGAGCAAATGCTTTGTATGGCGTTGCCTGGGAGAAATTGAACCAGTTGTGTGGTGGTACTCTACCAACCCGTCTGGCCAGCGTGGTATAGTAGGCCAAAACCTCCTTTCTAAGGAGAGGCCTATGTCCAGCAGTGGACTGTTAGAGGCTGTTGATGATGATGATGATGTGTGGTGGAAAGATATATGCAGTTCTACAAAATTAAGTAAAGTAGCATTAAGAATTCTTACGGAACCATATACATCTGCAGCCACAAAACGCATAATTTGCGCTCAACTAATTAACAATTATAAAATGGAATCGTGTTACTTCAGAAAGAGCTGCTAAAATAGCGTTTATTTTATATAAATTGGTAGATATTAAATAAAAATGTATTAAATAAATGCATAAATATCGATGAACAGGTAAGTAAGACAACTCAACTCAACTTTTGGTTAATGGCTTTGTGGTAGAGTGTAACCACAATTTCGCCAATGTTACAACTCCTCAGGGAAGTTCACCAGTCAGAATTGACGTTAATGAAGGTGAGGTCGATGAATGTAAAACAACCCAACCAAAAAAGGTTTTATTAGTAGTTTTTAAGGTGATAATGATTTAAACCCGCCATTTGGGTTTAAACAAGTTTCTGCCCAAAAAAAAACCGGTTTAAACCCAGTTTAAAAAAAAAATCATTTCATCCTCTAACGTATGGTTCACTTGTTTGTTTTGTGGCAGATTCAAGTAATATTCTCACTAATCATACATTGCTGATAAAGGTTGATGAGGCAATTATAGGGTTTGACTGTATTAGAGAGAATTCATAGAACTTTCATTACATTTTTACAGATGCTTTGAAACATTCTGCTACGGAAAATGTTGGTTGAAAACTCATTTAAAGTAAACTTCCTCTGTTAATTCAGTTTTTATTGTAGAATGTTTCGCATTCTATTATTATTGGGTATTGTTATAATACTAATAATAATAATTTGTATGAGATTTGTGCGTCGTGTGTGATCGTGAGTAAAAGTAACTAATTTTGACAGCACGAACGTTTCGAATTTACTTTCGTATCGTAACCGTATCGTCAAGCATTCGATACGTGACACTTTATAAAGAAAATTGGCGGCACGAATGAAGTTTTGAGCTGGCTATCGAGCACCTGTCGAGCTTAGTCGAATGTTTATTAACCTAAGATTTGGCCGTGAGAAAAGTTTCTAAACAATCAATTTCTTTTAAAACTATTATTTTCAAGTATTAACTGTTTATTTTTTAGTAGAGATAAAATGCAAAGAATCGCGTCCCTAGCGCACTAGCGCGTGATTATTGTGTGTATATGGGCCTATATGAACGGTGCAAATACCCGCGAATACTCTCGATAAATAAATAGTAACGTAATTTTCTCATTATACTACAATGGCCAAGTGTGTTAAGTGCAATAAGCTTATCACTAAAAAATAGACCGCAGTATGGAAAATGCAACAACTGGTAGCACTCAATCTGCGCGTCTCTTACCACCGAGCAGCTACCCTTACTGCTGTCGAGTCCGCGGACTTGTAATGTAAACCCTGCTCGAGCCATTCTACCAGATGAAGAGGAATAAAATACAGTATGAAGCAGGAAATTCGTCGTCAGATAAGGAAAACCATACAAGAGGAAATGAAAAGGAGGTTACAATTCTTCTCTGGCAAGTTTGACGACTTGCAAGAAATATTTAATAGCTATGAAGAAAAGATACAAACGATGGATAAATAATACAAAGATCTAAATAACAAATATACCCACACGAAAAACAAAACGGAATTCTTCTGGAACAACCAGCTGGAAATATGTGGAATAAATAAACATGAAAATGAAAATCTAATGGTAAACAAAAACAAAATCTGTAATAAACTTGAAACTACTGTAGATAGTGTCCACAAAGTATACAGAAAGCAAAGCGAGTTTACTGAGCGGACTGCAGGTACGGTTGTCGTGATTTTAAAGGAGGACCAGCGAGATCTGTGGTTGGAAGCAGCCAAATCAAAGACCATCACAGAAAGAGACATAGGAAAGGAGGAATATATCTCCCGAATATATCTGAGGGAGGCGCTATCACCATATCATCATCTCATTTTCTATGGCGGGCAAAGTCGGAACTAAAAGACACAAATTTAGTGAAGTTTGTGTGGTGCAAATGCGGTAGCGTCCTAAATGATAAATGAATCTGTAAAATACATCTTATCCGAACAGAGGAGATAATGAAATTAGCTTTACATATTATTAAAAACACTACAAACAAGTGTAATCTCCTGCTTATTGGCGATATGAATATCAATATAGTAAATGATAATAATAATAAATTTGAGTATCTGAACACACAGTGCGCATTGGGCCTCACAAGCTGTATTAATCAGTAGTTGTGTTGAGTTGAGAGCAATATATGTAATTACAAAATCATGTATAGACCACAGATTCGTGAGAAGCACTTCAGGCCCAACAGGCACGATCTACTCTGCGGTAATAAATGAGTCAACGGCGAATCACTATATAACGGCGTGTACATTAGTCAATGAACACCCAACTTGGAGCATTACAGACAAACCGGTTATCTATGCACTAGCTGACCCGCGCAACTTCGTCTGCGTCTCTCATTAGTAATAAATTTTCTCCGTTTTTTGAAACATTCTTCATTGGTGCTCCGCTCCTATTGGTCTTAGCGTGATGATATATAGCCTATAGCCTTCCTCGATAAATAGGCTATCTAACACTAAAAGAATATTTCAAATCGGACTAGTAGTTCCTGAGATTAGCGCGTTCAAACAAACAAACAAACAAACTCTTCAGCTTTATAATATTAGTATAGATATCTGATCGTTTCAGCTACGCGCCGAGCTACGCCGGATTGGAATGCACCTCTCTATTGTGATTCGCTCTGTTCTAATGATATCTATAAAAATATACGTGATACTTTTTCTGAAATATATACTTACTTAACTTTTATTTCATTTTTTTTATTGGGGTTTTTATCCAAATGGATACGTGCCATCATCCCATCGTGCCTTATTCTATCTACCTTCAACACATTCTTAAAACTCATAAGAGAAGAGAAATACTAATCAATCAAGTAAACTAATACTTATATATATAGTAAATGTAACCGATTTCTTATAAATATAAATATAGATCAAATGCATGTAAATGGATAAATAAAAGAATAATAAATATGTGTAAACTACGAAATAAGTAGCTTAAAATATATAAAAGAATGCAAAATAAAGAAAACATAACAATTTATAACAAATATAGAAATAAGACCAACAAGTACATTAACTAAAAAATAAATTTTACAAAGAAGAAATAGCTAAAAAATTTAATAACTCGAAAAAGCTATGGCAGTTTGTGGCAAGGTTTTATGGTCAGTAGACGAAGCGATACTAAAGAACTGTTGTTTGACAGACCAGTATAATGCAAACTTGTTCGTAAACGAGTTTTAAAAATATACGAACATAAATGCTAAAATCTATAATAAAAAATGTTAACTGAGCTGACATCTAATGCCAATAGCAGAATAGATGTGACAATGAGGATGCCGAAGGTAAATAATATTGAAACGTTCAAAATTATAAATAAATTAAACATAAATAAAAACCCAGGGATAGACAGAATAAGAGGTGTTGATATAAAAAAGATTAACAGAGAAATTACACCGGCAATCACTCATTTGATTAACAGCTGCATTGTCACATACCGGTCTTTTTAATTCATCTGGGTAACTACCCGGATGACTTAAAAGTAGGCGTAGTCCGACCTATTTACAAAAAAGGTATTCATGGAGACTGTACTAACTATCGTCCTATCACTATACTGTCATGCGTTGATAAGAAAATTAAGCGGTACATAGGAGACTAGTCTTCTTTTACACTCTAACAAAATAATACATAGCAAACAATATGGTTTTCAAAAAGGGAGGAGTACCTCTCAATTGCTGCGTCGATTTAGCAACGAGATTAACGAGCATTTGAATGAAAAACGTAATTTGATATCCTTTAATATAAAGGAATGAATGAACGTCTTGAGCAGGCTGGTATACAATGTCCATTGCTACAACTTTTTTTAAATTACTATAAACATATAGAAATACCAAAGTAAAAGTAGGTGACATGTACAGTAATAGCTTAAACACAGACAAAGGCACCGTTCAAGGTTCCATAATCAGCCCCTATAAATATCTTATATACTAGCGATCCGCCCCGGCTTCGCACGGGCGCAATGTACTCGTAGATACTACTAATACTATCTACTAATGTGGTGTCAGTGTGGAATAATTAATGATACTATTATTATGATAGGACTATACTACAGGACTTTATGTTTTTTTTGTTTAACCAAACCATAATTATTCGAATTCCCTTTATTTGCAAGCTCAGTATTTTATTATTTCTACAGAACCTAAATATTCGGTAGTTCATTAGCCCCAAAGAAAGGGCATAAGGTGGCCAGGCGCGCCACCATGCCTATCATTAATCATTTTTATTCATCAAACATCGTTAACTTTATTTTCGTGTTCTATATTCGATAAAGGAATGTTATTTAGGTCCTACCTTGAATTTGATTTCATTTTCATTTATAATAGGATAGTTGAAAGATGACTGATAACTTCTACAACTAAGCCAAAGCTAAATAATATTGCAACACTGTATACCTACAATGCGAGCATTTAGACTTATTTTTTCGCTAACAAACAGAAGGCCTTTTGACTCTAAGAATCTCTATCGTATCTGTAGAATTGATATTATTCACATAATGTGACTGAATTAGTATAACCCACCTCCAATGTACATGCCCTTTACAAAGTACTTAGATTTATAAAATGACAAACTAAACATGTACCTAACCATGTATGTAAATTAAACTATTAATGAACATTCCAAGCACTAATTTCTTTTTTGCCCTTTTTAAAGAAATGTAAAGCAAAACGGAAATATGAACATTAGTTTCATATGTGACTAAGCTTTCTTATCCTTCAAAAATTTTCATTTTAGACAATACAGCGATCATTGTCTAAAAGTATGAGATAGCTTAAATGTTTTGAGTGCCAAAAATGTAGAAACAGAAGCAACTGCAATTCACATTTACCTACGAATAAAAAAATCGTATTCTTATCTGTTGAAAGCTAATATCTTGAAATGTATTTATCCCCACTTTATATAATCACGTATATAAAAATGAATAACCAGAGTTTTCACCGTATGGAAGTCATCCTTTTCAAATCGAAAGTAAATTAAAGGCATTGTAATTCTTTGGAATTCCTTTTGTGACTGTCCGCGAGCCATTCATATTTTTTTTTTCTATTTCGTGTACCTTATACTCTCTGTTCGATTGCAACGTTGTTATAGTCGAGAGATAGAAGAATTTAATATTGAGAAGAATTTGCTACTTTGTAATTATACCATTATTTGAGTTTGTCACTTTAATTAGATTTATAATTAGATCAGATAAGATGCATCGAATCCTGACGCAGACTTTCAAATTATCTTCACTTCACATTACAAATTTTGATCCCAGTATTTACGTTAAGCCCCTATTCATCGCCTTCCCTGGCAACGCCAAAGTATCGAGGCAAACAAAGAGAAACCTTCAACCTTCAATAAGCGAGATGTCACACTGTGTGACAGCCGACTTTCTCCGCACAATCCAAGTATAATGGGTGTCGAGGAGGAAAATGAGGCGTTTGTTGGATAATTACGTGTATTATGTAATACGTGTGCTATGTATTAGAATGGTCTTGTAGACCTAGCATGAATCAATAAAATTTGTCTTGATTAAATGTAGTAATTTGCAAAACATCTACTATTCCAACATCTCAGAATATACAGGCAGGTGTAACCCACATACATTTTAAAATATATAAATTACCAAACATTTAAGTACGGTTTATGCTTTTCCATATTCAAAATAGCTTTATTCTTTATTGAAGATTGTCGATAATTAAATGGTACCCTTGTTGGAAACTTGTATTATAATGTTCTACAATCTTACATATATCCAATGGAGTATTGCCTTGGGCATGCCTTTTTTTTTTTTTAACGCGTGGAAACCCCCTCGGGCCGTCACCCCACCGGGGTTTACGGCGGGGTGGTGTGTCGGGATCGGACCGACTAAAACCACACGGTGTGCCACTCTGCGCCTTGGGCACGCCTACATCAAGGCTCAAAGTTGCGTTTTACATATATGATATTGTACCTACCTTGCGGGACGTACGTCTCACCAAGTTATAAAGGAGAACCAATTCATATGTCATTTTTATACACTGGTTTTCTGAAAAGCAAAATTAAGTGTATTAATTTTACTGGGTGTTGTTAAATCCTTATGTAAATCCTAAGTCTCATACTACGCTCAGAGATCTGTCTTACTCTGCTAGCCTCGATTAACCTTTGAATAATAGTGCTCATGAGTTAGCCGAGTTAATCTCATGTTGGGAGTAGTAGTTGTGATTATGGAATTAATACTATTTTGGGATAGATCTATTTTCTATCAAACATAAGATATGAATTTGCTTAATCCCTCCTACACTCATAAAAAACGATGTAACTTTTCTCTGAATGATCATCTAATATTATTTATGTAGCTATGAAATACTTAGGTAACAATAATTGCGTTTTAACAGTATTGCTAAAGACAATCAAGTTTATGCAGTGGCAATGCGTTAACGATAACGAGGAGATGTTTTGTTAGCGGAACAAAACTAAGTAGTAGTCATATAAGCTTTCAAATATCAACTTTTCAAAGTATAATTAATGCAGGCTACTGGGTAAATGGTCATAAAGTCAAACGAGCCTAGGATTTTATTTTCTGAGCAGAAACGCGAAAACTGTTGTATCAATGAATGTAACATATCAGATGTTATTTTATCAATGTAAACGATCGCTTTAAACACTTTCAAGCAAGAGAAAGATTTAAAGAAATATAAATTTAATTAGATGCATTTCAATATATTGTTGAACAATTATTTATCGGTACAGTAAAAATAGCGGCTTAGTAAATACAAGGAGTTAATAATAATTAGTGGGTACAAAAATCTGCTGGAACAAGGTTCATAATTCATTGGTAAGACTCGGTATATGTTGTTAAATTACCTATTGTAGTAGGGGAGCCCTAGAAGGGATTTCAAGATTTACTCGAGCGTGGCAGATTAACATAAGGAGGAATACCTTATACCTAGTCGAGTACCTCCACCATATATGAGCCCTACATATAGGGGGGAGCATATAGGGCAGCCCATCGGATTAGTTAAAAAAAAAATTGAAGGCCAGAAATTCTATTACAACGTGTAAGATTAAGGTAAGTTGAGTCAATTATGTACACATTAGTGTGAATTTACTAAAACCCGACGATTTGAACGTGAAAAAGCAGTGGGATGGTCACAAAGTTAAAAAAAAAACACATGACATTGTTGTTTTTTTATTTAGAAGCAAACAATAAAATAAAAATTCTTTTTTGTAACATCCATAAATGTACCACATTTTTTTGCAAATAAATTATTCTTCTTCTTCTTAAATGTCTACATAATTTATTTGTCACATTTTATAAAAAATCAAAAAATACAAATATTTCAAACCGTCAGTTTTAAAATACCCTGCAAAATTATCGTCAGACTTTTGGCTAGTACGACAGGAACATCAATCTGAGCCGTCTGTATAAAATCTAACACGCTCAGGCACTTCAAATGGCGATTTTTCGACTTTGCAGTTTGCATTTTCGACAATTCGCTACCAGCTTGAGTCAATTTAAAATCGTCATACCTTTCAATGCAGCATTTTTGGCGCCCAATAACATATCCCCAAAATATCTGATGGTCCCGAAAATTTTTTTCGCTTTCCACACCTTACTTTTTTGAAAACCTGTACAAGCTTTTCCGCTGAAAGTGGAAACATTTTATAACTTTTATTCATTCTATTACCTGATCTTTCAAACGCAATAGGTCCCCATGACGCTCGATTAAATCCATATTTAGCATCATCATCTACTATTGCTATTCCCTAAATACATTAAAACTTCTGTCCAAAACCTTGTTACTCCAAGGCGCAAAAAATCTAGGCCAACTGTGAATCATGCGAGTTTACTTCGGTTATTTGCATTTTACTGGCTATAGGAAAATCTTAGGGTGTAGCATAATGAAAAATAAACTTTTTATAATTAATCAAGTCCATAATTTAGTTACCATCAATTTTGTGTTATCGATTCTGATTGAGGGTCATCATCGTCCCTTTTTTAACTCTTCATCAGATTTAACTGTCATATCTTTCACATGGCAACTTTATTAATATCGCTATCTGTACTACTTAATTCAGGCTCTAATTTGCTGTCACTGATGATCTTTCAGATTCAGCATTCTCTGTTATAACTTCTGTTAATTCTTCACTTTTCTGTTCACATTCATTGAGGACTGTTTCTTGAGCCAATAATCTTGAAAATGCTCTACTACATGCACAGCAACGACACGCAGGTTCAGCTTGATACAAGGGTGGAGCTCCGTGACTTGATTTATTAGCTAACATGTCTGGAGATAGATAATCGTCAAATACGTCGCTTAGTACTTCTTCATATGCTTCATCTGATAATGTTCTCCTCTGTGTTGAGTTTTGTGGCTTCAGCTTACTTCTTCCAGTTATGTATCTCAACTCATTGTGTAAACGAGATGAAAGTATATCCCGTGCCACTACTATCCTGGAGATAATTGTTATCATGGTTGAAAAATTCTGTTCGTGTCTTATTACAATAATTAAAATTATATGTTTCGTATAATATTTACTTTGGAGACTATGCACAGGTGAATATAAGATAGGTAGACGAAACGATTTATATTTGTTGGTCAAACACAACAAATAAAACTAGATATTTTTTTGTAACTTTTTTTTTGTATTTGACGTTTATGAAAATTTATTTAATTTGTGAACTTTACTCATATTGTTTTTAGTAATGGTGTCACCAAGAAGATCAGATATTAAGATTTATTAAAAGTTTCTTTTTGTTAACATGAAATTACTATTATTAGAATTCCTTTTTATAATCATTCTTAAAGAGTTCAATACAAGTGGAATAATGTAATTTTAGTTAGAATGATTTTTTTTAAATTTCGCTTTGTAGATAAATGACGGGCCCTACACGGGTTGTACTTTCTAGTCTTCACTCTAATTCACACAAAAACCGAATCAGTATTCAGTATATTTTTAAACACAAGATACCGCAATCATTGGGCCAATCCTACTGTTGGCTATTTTTTGCACTTGGGAGTAAACAAGTGCAAAAAATGTAGAACTAGAATCTGTTCAGACCTCTCTCAACACGCACGTGTTTTTAGTTCTGCTCTTATCTCGTACAAAATTAAAGAAAGTTTGTGTAATTTCTCAGAAATTGCATAATAGAATTTAGAACTTACTCGACATCTCTCTAAAAACTTCTTTAAGTAACACGAGCACATCTGACACGTCTACATGCTTGCAAGAAATATAGGAATAATTTAACATGAAGTAATAGCTATCCAATAGGCAATAAAAGGCTGAATTGAGTTATGACATAAAAAAAATAGCATTTGAGCCTGCAAATTACAATTTAAAAAAAGTATTTGTCCACCACAATCTTGTCGTCTTTTTATTACAAGTGGAATACTGGAATATGGCGTGTATGACCTTATGAATGTCGCGAGAAATGGAAAGGGTGACTAGGCCAGGCTGGCCAGGGTATTATTTAAAGCCGCGTGAGAACCATAGTGTTACTGAAGCATATTGGTTGTATACGTTTTTCTAAATATAATTCGTATTTTCAAATTATCTTCTTTGATTTCTTACCATTCATTTAAAAAAAATATGAATTCACTTGAAGAATTTAGCATAATGCAATTTAAAAATAAATACAACAAAAAAGGTGGAATGTATAATGATTTTTTTAATTCAATAAAATCGAATTCAATTTCTTAAAAGAAATCCGACATGAAGAAATACAAAATAGAGTGACTTCAACTGCCCCGAATATTAGGAAAAATTGGTACTTTCCAATTATGTCAGGAACCTGGTCAATAGGTTATGTTGGCAAATGAATCTTGCATTTTATTAACACAAAAATCAGATCAGTGCGTGTCCGTCTTCGCGGTCACGGGTACAGCTAGTATAGTTCTATATAAAACGTGACAAGGGTTTGTACGTGCTAGGTCCGCTTTTGTCTATGGTATACACATATTTTGCGACAACATTCATAAATAGACGCCGTGTTGCGTTTAACGGCTCAGTCAAGGGCTGACGACGTATATATAAGAAAGTTTATTGTCATGTTAGCTTAATATCAGTTGTATTTAGCTTAACATATAACAATGAACGTTTCGCTCGTATGCACGAAAATTACGTAATAAAGTGCGTATATTTGGTATTTCTACTTTATGGTTACGTACCTCCGTTACGTATAAAACAGATTATAGCGTATACTATATAATACGCTAAAATACGTTACACTATGCTTTTAGTCTTTACGTGATCCGATCTTGTATTATTCGCGCGTTATCGAGCTTTTTTATCACAGAAAATAAATTCCTAGAACGAAAGCAATTTTATATTCGTTTTAGAAAGTAGCATAATATAAGTATAGGGAGCATAAATAATAACTTCAAATATTATATTTTTGTGAATATTTTAACTTTAAGTGTGGGAGAGTTACGCTTCGTCACATATGGCCGGCTAGACGGAGCTCAGAATCGAATGCCGAATTAACCATTATCGATGAACTATTCGATAAAACCACCCTTCGTCCGAAGTCAGTTTTACAAATTATAGATCACCGATGAACTCGCTGGAGCGTTACCATGGCCTCACAAAAAACCGGTGAACAATTTAACTGTTTTTTTACACCTAGTGAGTGACGTTATCGGAGACCCAACTTCTTCTCCTAATACAGAGTAGGGGGAGCAGTCAAAGCGTGACAACGCAATTGTGTCTCTTGACTTCTTCAGTTGCAGGCGTCAATGAGCGGTGGTCATGACCGGTCTGCTCCTTTGCTTTAGATCTAAAAAAATCCTGACTATCCTTTTTTATTGATATGGTTTTGGATAGGTAACAATGTAATTACGATGGTAAAAAATACTAAATTAACTGTCCTAGTTGTAATAAAAAAAACCGCCTGACAGTGGTCCCCTTTCGGAGACTTTCTTGACTCTTTCACCTTCGATAGGCCCAGCTACACTTGGCAGTTCATGACGTCACGCGTAAGGCCAGAAACGGCCTAAGCCCCGGTATCCACCAAAGCAGAGAAGAGAGGAGATGTCTTATTTTTCTATAGAATTTTGTTTCTCGAGCGAGTATTGTTTTAATACATTATAAAAAAAAACACCTCTTTGGGAACATGTTACTTTTTAATTTGCGAGACCGTCATTTGTTTTTACATTGTGACGTCCTTTCGAAAATTATGTGTCTCTATTAAAATCAATTTAACTCGTGAACATTTTCGTTTAATGATTTTCGTTGTGGCTTAAGTCAACAAAGACAATTGCCAGAGACTTCAATTGGTATTTGGTGATAAAGCACCATATCGCATGTCGCTGTATATTCTTGGTTTGGAGAATTTAGACTTGTATATCGCGTCCACGTCTACATTCTCCAAACCAAGAATTCTTCAGTGAAGGTCGGCAGGTGACTGCGGTTACAGACTCTAATATTGACACCGTACGAGAACTTATTGAAACTGACTAAAAATTTACTTGCCAGCAAATTCGTGTTTTCTATTTGGCTCATTCTAATGCCTAACAAAAGGCATTGGAATGAGCCAAGTGCAAAACATTTTACATGTGCATCTGAAGGTTCGAAACCTTTGCACTCGATGGATACCGCATGACTTACCGTAGGACCAGAAGCTATGATTGCGTGTTCAGTGGTGCCGAGTCTTACCAAAAGTTCTCGAAAAGCGTCCTCGAAGCAATGTCCTCCTTCACTACGAGAACGCATCCTCACCTTCCGCTAAGGTAACAGAAGCCTATTTGAAGGCTTCAAAGGTGGAACTAATGACGCATCCAACTTACCGCCCGGACCTTTTACCCTGCGACTGTGTCTTATATATACATATATGTCTCCAAACATTGAAGAGAAACTTAGAGGTATACGTTTTACGAGCCCTGAATCGGCGGAGAATACTTTCCATGAAGCCATTTAAGAGGTCCCAAAGGAAGAGTGTTCCAACTGCTTTGTACAATGTTATAGCGAATGCAAAAATATATTAATTGCGAGGGAATATACTTTGAAAAACAATAAATCCATGGTAAGTCTTATATCTAGTCTTATTTATCAGAATCCAGAAACTCAGTGAGCCCTAAGTAATTGCCGCCCAAAGGCGTTGCACATCTGTCCACAGCCATATGCGCAGCAAACGTCAGTTCAGAACCGAGTTCAACAGCGCGATACGAGACAATAACATTCGTCAAAATCGGCAAAAGCGTAGTGAAGGAAGACGATTCAAGTGCACTAAACTATAATAAATCAAGCAGATTATTATTCGTAAATATATTATTTATGTATTGATATGAACTTCTTCTTCTTTCTTTCATATATTGATATGATATTTACGTCTGTTAATAACGCTCTAATCGAAATGAAAGAAATAAAAAAATAATCATTGTAATTTATATACAGTGTTACCACTAAAATATTGTTTTGGTTTTCACACGTCAGTGGGAGAATTTGTAATTTATAAAAAAAAAACTGAAAAACAGTACAACCGTTTTTCAATATTTTGGCAATAACAATAAAAAAAACAGTAGGACGGTAGCTAATAGGATCGGACCGGTCTCCTTTATTAGGGGCCGGTTAAACGTTCACCTCCATCCAAGTTCACAGTACTAGATACTTCCATAAAAATAATTTATTCACCGTACCTACTTTCTTATTTATTTATGTAATAATAGTTTTACAGTATATCTAGAGATGATGCACGCCATGTCTGAGAAATGGGTGGCAATAATTCGAATGCGAGTAGGTCATATTGAAAATAATGAACCCTGAGGATTATTTTATCATCGATACAAGTTGATCACACTCTTTTATTAAGTAGTCATTATTTATTTACAAAGTAAAACTAAATAACTATATAGGTATGCTTCTATATTTATTTAAGTCGTATTTCAAACAAATGTCTCGTTACTCAAATCCATGCACTTAGACACAGATGAATAAACTCGCTGAATGAATATGAATTTCTTTAATGCTCTTAATTCTCACGATCAGAAGCTGTTATGTAAAAAGCCTAAGCGACTTTCATTCGATTGGTTTTGTGATTTTTAAGCCACATTTGAAGCTTTAACCGCTAATGTCTTCCGTTCATATTTCTTTTGAAAAAGTTATTGTTTACGAACAAAAATGATATGCAGAATTACTAAAGCCCGATCAGAAATGATATGATACGAGTACTTAATCATGTTCTTTTTGATATCGATAAGTATTAATTTTATTCACTTTTGATTGACACCTGCTAACTTACTAAGAAAGAAAATTCGTCCAACAGAAGACAATCCCATTACACGAGTAAGTAATTAATCCGGGCAACAACAATGGTAACTACTAATAATTTTAAACGCTTCATGTGTTTGAAATAATATCCGTAAAGTTTTATAATTAATTAATTATTTTACCCTTAAATAAAATAAAGAAGGGATACAGGGAAGGGAACAACAGCACTGCAGAGAGAAGGAAAACTTGACACAAACCCTATACCA